GCTACTTTTATTTGTTCTCATTGATGTGTTGAAATTTAAGCCCCCAGACTTAGAGTGGGTAGAAATTAGAATAGCTGTCAAGGTAATAGGCAAATCTTCTAAGTAAAAATAAATCATCTTCTTTTTTCATTGATAATGTCTTATTTCATGAAGATTTGCATTGTTTTTACTCTTTTTTTCCTCACAGTTTAAATGGCATTACCAGTATAATTGTAGCTATGAATAATATGCTAATACCTAATACAACTTTTAAATAGTGTTTAGAAATCAACCTGCACCCCATCCAAATTCAATCTAACTTATTAAATGTGCTTTGACCATAGTCTTTTTCAGTGATTTTTCAGCTGATGTGCCTCAAGATTTTTTAAAGCATGCAATACCTGACTAGTCAGGGGCACTGACCTCTTTCCCCTTAAATTGTAAAATAAAAAAAATTGGCACAACATAATAGCCATCTGGTGTGAATGCCCCGTCTTGAACCATAATATATATCTATATACATAAAAAACTTTAAGCAACCGGTCAACCATTCAACAGGTTGACCATTTGGCTGGTCACTATGATGTGCACTGACCATCAGAGGGAAGATGCTCAATGCAAGAGCTGCCCCTGGTGGTCAGTGCGCTCCCACAGCAGAGAGCTGCTCAGCTGACTCATGGGCACCAATCACAGGGCTCACAGCTGGTTTCCCCCGCCTCTATCGTAGGCTACCAGAGCAGTGGCAGCAGTGGCAGGCACACGGAGGGGGGGGGGGGGGGGGCTGGGATGAGCAGGAATGGCGCGCAGAGCTGTTGGGCTCCTCCCTGGCAGCCTGCTGCTTCACACACTGCTACATCCTTCAGGGGATGTCGGATTGCTGGCTTTGGCCTGGCAGTGGCAGTCTGACACCTCCTGAGTGGTCCGGGAGTGTGAGAGGGCACAGGCCAGGCTGAGGGACCCCACCGGTGCATAAATGTGGGCACCAGGCTTCTAGTAATTCATATAATTGCATCTTATTGGTCATGTCACATGATGAGGTTACATCTAATTGATTAATTAATTCTTGGTACCAGAAATCCACATATATGATTTAAAAAAAAAAAAAAAAAGTCCTTTGGAGCAAAAAGGATAGTGATTACTATTATTAATTTTTATGTGAATCACTAAAACTTATATCTATTTTTGGCAGATTGGCAAAAAACACATTTTTTGGTGTGCCGCGGAATTTTAGTTTATGTGTGCCACCAAGTGAAAAAGGTTGAAAATCGCTGGTCTTATTTACTAATGTCAAGTGGGCAGTCTCATAGAGTTAGAAAAAAACCTGTACTGGGAGCCAGGATATCATCTTAATCCTAATAAAACAAAAAAGTTGGACTAGTTGATCTCCAATTACGTCTATAGCTCTAATTAAAAAACAATATATTGTGGACTTACTGAATTTTAGGTGTTACGGTTGGTCTAAGAGGTGTCGGTAGCTTGAAGCTCCTTCACTGAATCTGGTAGAAACAAATGCTCTGTTGGAATGAGGATGGAAGGTAATTCTTCTTCTCATGGTTGTGAAGAAATACTCAGGCAACATCAGAATGTGTTGCTTTAAAATTCTGCCCCAGCAATCCTCCTGAATCTGGAGGTAAGTGAGAGAGTGATATCTATGGACCTCCTCGTATTCAGCTCTTCTCTAATTGCTCCTCACTCGGTGTTACTTACCTGTCCTTGTCACTCAGCAGGCTTCGGTTACACTGCCTTTCCATTCCTGGAAAGAGCCAGGCCTTTTCCTATAATAGTTCAGGCCCTCTACACGAACAGTTCAGGAAGAACTGGACTTCTTCCTTCAGTTCTTCTAATAGGTGACTCATCCTTTCAGATTTGTTTAAATGTCACTTTCCTACCACCTACCTAAAAACAACTCTTTTCAACCCATCATGTCCCCAGGTCTATTTCTGTTTAGTTCTTTTCCCCAACTGAATATATTTATTTAATTACTTGTCTCTTAACCATTTCCTACACTAAAATTTCAGTTCCTTGGGGGCAAGAACATTGTCATTATCATCATCATCATCATCATCATTACTAAATGGCTCTATCTGTACAGCCTACAACACTCAACATTTAATGTGCACTCAATAAATGTGTGTTTAATTCATGAATGTCAGGATCCCTGAATGCAAACATCTGGCTCCAGCAAATACTCTTCAGTTACTTGACAGAGTCTGCTATAACAAACACAATCTTAGAAGGGGAAAACATGAAACATTCTTTCTCCTTTGATTTATCCTTGTTTCCTTTACATTTTAGATAAAAAAGGTTCTGCACTTATTTCATTTCCCATTTCACTTATTTATTATACACTAGAGGCCTGGTGCACAAAATTTGTTCACAGGTAGGGTCCCTAGGCCTGGCTGGCAATCAGGGCTGATCTGTGGGATGATCTGGGATCCCCCATTGGCACCCACCTTAACCAGCCTGACGCTGCCTGCTTGCGTTCCCCTGCTGCCACCACTGCTGCATTGAGCATCTGCCCCCTGGTGGTTGGTGTGCATCATTGTGACCAGTTCCACGATCATTCCAACGTTCAGTTGATTTGCATATTAGGTTTTTATTGTATAGGATATAACACTTTTTTAAAACTAGTAATCAACCTAATGGTTGTGAGGTGATATCTTGTGGGTTTTATTTGCATTGTTCTGATTAGTGATGTTGAAAATCTTTTCAGGTGTTTGTTGGACTTTTGTGTATCATCTTTGGAGAAATGCCTATTCAAGTTCTTTGTCAGATTTGATGTTTTGTTATTGAATTGCAGGGGTTCTTTATATATTCTGGAAACCTTATCAGATACGATTTACAAATATTTTCTTCCATTCCATAGGTTACCTTTTCACTCTGTTTATCCTTTGCTGCACACATTATTTGATATGGCTCCATTTGTCTATCTTTGGTTTTGTTTTTATTTTCATATTCAAGAGATCACTGCCAAGTCCAATGTGGTGAAGATTTTCCTCGTGTTTCTTTTAGGTTGTTTATAGTTTTAGGACTTATATTTAGTTCTTTACTCTATTTTGGATATAGTATAAGAGAAGGATCCAAATTCATTCTTTTACATGTGGATATCTAGTTTTCCCAGCACTATTTGTTTTTAAATATGTTTTTATTGATTTTAGAGAGAAAGGGAGAGAGAGAAAAATCTATGCAAGACAGTGATGGGCTGCCTCCTGCACACCCCAGTACTGGAGACTGAACCTGCAACCCAGGCATTTGCCCTCACTGGTGACTGAACTGATGAATTCTTGGTTCATGGGTCCACACTAAACCACTGAGCCATACCTGCCCGGCCCCAACAATATTTGTTGAAGAGACTGTCCTTTTTCATTGAGTCACCATGGCATCTTTATCGAAGATCAGTTGATCATATTTATGAGGGCTTTTTACTTAATAGACTTTATTTTTTACAGCAGTTTTAAGTTCACAGCAAAAATAAGCAGAAAGTGCAGTTCCCATATACCCCTTGTTCCCTCTTCACACTAATATGCTTTTTAAAAGCTTCCTCATGTGAACTTACATTGCTGATTTAAAATCTTTCTTCTTTACAACTATGGTCATTTAAAGCTATGGATCTCCCTCTAATACTACTTCAGCTGCATCCCATAAATCACTACGTTGTATTTCCATTTAGTTGAAGGTATTTTTAAAGTTCCACTTATGTCTTCTTGACATAGGGGTTTAGAATTATGTTGCTGGGTTTCCAAGTACTTGTGGATTTCCTAGCTATCTTGTTGTCATTTCTAGTATAATTCCATTGTGGTTAGCAGCCATAATTTCAAGCTTCTTAAACTCGAGGCATGCTTTATAGCCCTACTTCACCAACTTGATTTTGTTTAGTTATGGATTACTGTTGTGCACGAAGACTTTTCCTGCTTTGGTAATGTATAGAGGGCACCGTGGTGGGTATTCGCGAAGTTTTGAAATCCTAAAACAGTATTCCATCGTCTGGAGGTCCTCCAGGCTGACACTGCAGTGATTAGGCTGAGGCTAAAGCCAGAGTCCTCTTTAGCATCATCAGATTTTAAAATAAATAAATAAACAAACAAACAAACAAATAAATAAAATTTCCAGTGGTTTCCAAAGAGGAAGGAAGTGGGCAAGACTGAAACATTAATGATGAGGATCACTGATTGGCTGACTCCTGCAAGTCCCCCAATTGGGGGACCAGGATGGAACCTGAGACCCTACCGTCCGCTGGCTTGCGCTCTATCCATTGAGCAAACCAGCCGGGGCGGCATCATCAGGCTTCTTAGGAAGCCTTTCCCACTCACGGAATGGCACCACTTACGAGAGCCCTTTACAGTTAGGAAGCAACGAACATGGTACGGTTACATTTCCCCCCATTGGTCGTCTATTCAGAGGCAACAAAGTTAAGTTCGCAAAACCAAGAAGTTTTCGGAGGGAGAGAGAGCTGGGCAGAGTTGGAGAAAGTTGGAAGAATGCCTCATTTCCGGATTAGAGAGCACAGTCTCTTGCGAGGCCTGAGGAAGCAGGACCTCGAGTAACAGCTGCCCTTCCCCTCAGGGGCCGGTCACCCACCGGCGGACAGCGCCTCCCGAACAAACCCTTCCACCCCCGTTCCTTTCCCAGCTGCTCAAACAGGGAGGAGGAACCCGTAGGGGCAAAGGAGCCGGTCAGCAACCGACCGTCACGTGACGGAAAGGAGCGCGAGGGGGACCCGGGAAGCCTCCGGCCGCGCAGGCCCCGCCCACTTTACGACAACTCAGGGCTCCGCCTCGGGCCCCGCCCCCTCCGCCGTAGGGTGGAGCGCGAAGCCCCGCCCCCAAGCGGCCTTTCTCGCTGGCCAATAGGGCGGGGCGTGAGACCAGTAGGAAGTCGGTGCGGAGGGAGGAAGGGGTCACGTGCAGTCGGCGGCCTGGGATCACGTGACGGAGTGCGGGTCTGGGAGTTCTCCTGAGGGGAACGGAGCGGAGCGCGGGGGACGCGGCGGCGGCGGCGGCGGCGGCGGCGCGGCGCTGACAATGGTGAGTGCGCGGCGCCCCGCGCGCTGTCCGTCAGCCCCGGCTCGGGAGTGCGCGGTGGGACGCCCAACCGCGGCCCGGTGTCGCGGGAGGAGCCGCGGGCGGAACGGCAGGCTAGCGGGGGCGGGAAGCCGCGTTAGGCCCGTCGGGCCACGGCGGGGTCCGGGGAGGGAGGGCGGGCCACGCGGACGCTCCCCACCCTCGTTGGGCCCTGGCACCTGCGGGCGGCGGCGGGGGCGGCTCGCTCTCCCGGCCATGTCTGAGCCTCAGCCCTCGCTCCTCGGGCGGCTGTGGGGGCCCTGGCTGGGTCCTCGGACCCCGCCTCGGCGGGGACTCGCCGCCGCCTCCCCTCCCAAGGTAGCCAGCCCCCGCTCTTCCCCGGCAGCTTCGGCTTCTTTCACGGGGGGTGGCGCTTGAGTCCCCTCGTTCCGGACTCGGGGGGAAGGGGTCAGTTCTGGACTCGGGTGATCAGTCCTTCCCAGAGAGTCACCAGCTGGAGGACTCTAACTCCGTGTGTGTGTGTGTGTGTGTGTGTGTGTGTGTGTGTGTGTGTTTTAAACCTGGGTCTGGTGACATTCTGAGATTTCTTGACCCGAGTTCTGGTTGATGCTGACACTTGTAGAATGAGAGGGGAAAGGATCCGGGCGTTGGAAATGGGCGTTTGTAACGCCGAGGACGTTAAAGCCCGCTGCCGGCTTAAGCCCCGGCTTTCGTTTCCTTCCCCACGCGATTCTGGAAGTGCCCGCTGCGGGGTGTTGGAACGGCCTGGGAGCGGAGGGAGTACCGAGGGCTCCAAACACAGGGGAGGCATCAGCGTGGGCACGAGGGCGTGTGTGTGTGTGTGTGTGTGTGTGTGTGTGTGTGTGTGTGTGTGTGTGTTGGCAGGCAGTCTCTGCATTTGACCTCATCGGGCTCATTTATTTAACCCAGTATTCGTTTTTATTCGTTTCATTTAGCAAGCATGCTGTTGAACCCTACTGTGTGTTCTAACACTACCCGCTTTCTTTCCCAAAGCTCAGAGGTTCAGGAAGCTGCATGGCACTCTGGCAAAGGACCAACCTAGGTTTATTTTATTTTTTAAAGTGACTTTGAATACATTCAAGTAAGGATGGACATGCTCATTTTTAAACTTGGAATCTTTCCCCCTTTCATTCAGCAAATAATTAGGTGTGCCCAAGAGCCGTGAGCGAGGCTGCGATAGCCCTTGCCCTCTTGTAGCTTCCAGTCTGGAGGGAAATACACGTTTGTGTAATTGACGTGGGAATGACAGCTGTGATAAATGCTAAGAAGGAAGTGTTGGGGACCTTGCCTGGTCAGGTGCTAGGGAAGTCTTCTTTAATTGGACATAATTTGCAGATAAAACTTAGAAAGCCCTCCTCCTCCTTTGTGCTTGCATTTAAAGTGGTTACTTCTAATAAGCTTTTGAATTATGTTCATGAGCAATTTGTTTTTCTTTTCAAGTTAGTCATCAAACTAAATTCTTAGGCTTTATAACCTTGAAATGGGCACATATGTGTGAAAATTTGCTGTCTCATTGCTGTGTATGGGATAAGTGAATAAATTTTGAGAGCCTCCTTTCCACTCACCTTGAGTTGCATTTCTTTACATCCACTGGACCTAGAGAAGTTTCTTCAGTGAGATCTAAAAAGTTTGGTTTTTAATATAACTACATGTAATTTTGCTAGATGATAATAATATTGGATTTACAAATTAAATGAACAATTTTAAACTAAAACCAGTGATACAAGGTTTAGGCCTAAAAACGAACAACAACAACAACAAAAACACAACTTCTATAATGCTTTGTCATATATTGCAGTTTAGTTATTTAAAGGCTATCTATGAATTTTCACTTGTATATTAAGTGCCAAGTATTGCTCCTAAAATTCTCATATTCTAAATGTTTACATGAAGATAACTTTTCCAAAAGAATTGAGTAGTCTTTCACTTTAAAGATCTCAAAACTGCCTTCTGTAATTTCAGAGGTTTATATTAATGTATCCTAATCCTTGTTCCAATTTTTATTCCCTTCTTCAAGTCTTCACCAGTCTGACAATTCTGTAGTTTCCTCTTTATATATTGGGGAAAGTATTTTTAAAAATAAATTTAAAAATTTTATTTATTTTTTAGATATTTTAAATCTTCACCTGAGGATATGTTTTTATTGATTTTAGAGAGACCATGGGAGAGAGAAAGAAAGAGAGAAACATCAATAGGGTGTCCTGACTGGGGATAGAACACAAAACCTTTTGGTGTACGGGATGGTGACCCTCCAACCATCCAAGGCTGAAAGATTTTAATTTTGAGACTTTTTGTTTTAAATAACAGAAGATGCACACCTTAAAATAAAAACTTCAAAAGCAAAACTTTGGGTAGAGAATCCTTTCTTTCAACTCCTTTTAGAAAAAAAAAAATTTTTTTTTCTCTCAGATATTTTTTCTCTCTGTCGTCTACTTGTTAAATGTAAGATATCCACAATTTTCTGGAGGCTTTTAGTAAGGCTAATTAATTTTTTAATATATCCTAGTGTAAAAAAAAAACTGGATGTTAACCCAGTGCTAAATTCTCATGGCATCATTAATTAAACCTTGTTAAAAGGGTTGTAGTTTTATTTTTCAACCTGTTGTTATTCTGCAAATGCAATATTGGGTTTTTAAAATATCTTCTGATCTCTCCCAATCTTAGCTTTTTGATTGTGTTGAAAATTAAGTCTATTTTTAAATTTTTAGTTACGAAATACTTAATGCATATAGGAAATAAAGGATGACATAGTTCTTACATATTTTTAATTTTTATGTATTGTGTCAAAATAATACTTATTGTTTAATTATAGTGTTATTAGTTAATTGGGAAGTTGTATAAAACTCAAGTCTATTTTGCATTTTAATTAGTGGCAATTTTGATATTTTATTTTAGATTACTTGATCTTTTAATATCAGCCTTCAAATTCAAAGTTCAGCTCCATGTATTAAATATATGTATGTGGAAAAAATGTTACCATTGTATTTCCTATTTATAAGATAATTTTTATAGTTTTCAAATTCATTTTTTCTGGAAGCAGCTCTGGGGAAATATTAAGGTGGAATGAGAAAATTAAATGTTATTCTCCTGCTTTTATGTTATAACTCAAATGATGCCATTGTCTTCTACTCTTTCATAATTGCTACACACACACACACACACACACACACACACACACACACACAGACACACACCAGCTCAATGCTTTTACATATTGTTCATAATTAGTAAATATCAGATGACTGATATTGAGCTGCTGTACATTCTCATATCTGTAGCGCTTCTGAGAAAATACACTATTTTGAGCAAGTTTTGAATTTAAAACTTCAGGTATTAAAAGCTAACTCGGAGCCCTAGCCAGTTTGGCTCAGTGGATAGAATGTTGGCCTGTAGATTGAAGGATCCTAGGTTTGATTACTGCCAATGGCATATGCCTAGGTTGCAGACTTGATCTCCAGCAGGGGATGTGCAGGAGGCAGCCAATCAATGGTTCTCTCTCATCATTGATGTTTCTATCTCTCTCTCCCTCTCTGAAATCAATAAAAGAAACGTGTGTGTGTGTGTGTGTGTGTGTGTGTGTGTGTGTGTGTGTTTATTCAGAGAGGGAAAGAGAGATAGAAACATATGTGTGTGTGTGTGTGTGTGTGTGTGTGTGTGTGTGTGTGTATGTATGTATGTGTGTGTATATATATATATATATATATATATATATATATATATATATATATATATATATGAAAACTAACTAGGAGCCCTGGCTGGTATGGCTCAGTTTGCCTGGGTGTCTTCGGCTCAGTTCCCTGTCAGGGCACATGCCTGGGTTTCAGGCTGGATCCCCAGTAGGGGGCCTGCAGAAAGCAGCGGATCCATGTTTCTCTCTCACACCCATGTTTCTCTACTTCTCTTCCTCTCCCTTCTCTCTAAAAAATCAATAAAACTTTTTTTTTTTTTTTAAGAAAGCAGATAAAAATCCCAACTCATGTTAGCTAACAATATGGCATTGGGGATACAGCATGAAGAAAGTAGATACAAACTCCCTCTCACATGACCTAACAACACAATAAGAAGAGTACAGAATAATCAAAAGTAGTTGTGAGATCTAAATTTGGAGAATCTAATTTTGATTAGGAAGTTGGGAAAGCCTCGTTATGGACATGAGTCAAACTGAGACTGAAATTAATTAGTTAGGTTAAGGATACTTGTTCTAGGTCAAGAAGGAGAGTGGCAAATTTGATGAATTTGGATCAGTTGAGGCATGTGTGGCTGGAGAGATGGATAGAGCCAAATAATTTGTAGGCCATGGGAGGAAATTGTGTGTGTGTAAAAGTAACATTTCAGCCCAGCCAGTGTGTCGTGAGTATGGGCCTATGAACCTGGTCAGAGCACGTGTCCAGATTCCAGGCTTGATCCCCCGTAGGGGGGTGTGCAGGGGGCAGCCAGTGAATGATTCTTAATGGTGTTTCTACCTCTCGCTCTCCCTTCCTATCTGAAATCAATAAATATACATATATATACATATATATATATATATATATATATATATATATATATATAAACTATTTCATTGAAGTAAACATTAGCTATATAAAAGTGCACAAATATGTGTATAGCTGGATGAATTTTCACAAAGTGAACATACCTGTGAATACTCACTCAGCTAAAAACAGAACACGACTAGCAGCACCCAGAAGTTCTCTTTGTGCTTTCTCCAAGAGTTCCTGACTTCTAGAACTATAATGGGTGTTACTTTTTTTTTTTTTTAGTTAATAAATGGAATCACAGAGCGTGTATTTTTGTGTCCGGCCTCTTTCCCTTGACATATGTGTGAGATTCATGCTTGTGGCGGTTAATCATATCCATTCTCTCGTTGATGTATATTTGGATTGTTAACTATTTGGGGCTATTGTGAACAGTGATGGTTGTGAATATTCTTATTCTGTCTCCTGGTTCATGTATATGAGTTTCTGTTGGGTAGATATCTAGAGGGGTAATTGGTGGGTCATGGGATATGTTTAGCTTTACCAGATAATGCCACCTATTTTTTAAATAGATGTTCCCATTTATACTATCACCAGCACACTGAAGGATTTTAAACAGAATGATGATCAGATTAATGTTTTAAAGAGATCACTCTGGATGTTAGGGCAGAGTAAAAAGGGATATAGGAAATAGGAGAGGAGATTGTTCTCTGTAAATTTTTTTAAAAGAACAGAAAACTAGCTTTTGTAAATGACAAAAATAATCCATAACTAAATCTGATTATTGGAGTTACTAATGGATTTTGTATTCTAGTATGCTTTGATAATCAAAAGCAATTGATCTTTGTCTCTTATAGTCTGTCATATTCAGGATTTACAGAACAAGGCTTATATATTTTCTTTGGAAAATTTCACAGGAATTTAATTTTTCTCTTCCATTGGACCCAGTTTTATTCCAAGGGCTTACACAATGTAACACTTCTTGTTCAGTCTTAAATAGAAGTAGATTTTGCAGAAAGAAGTACACCATAATAACTTATTGGATTTGTACAAGTAATTTGGATTTATGGGTTCTGCTATCGATATAATGAAAGAACCCTATAAGTATAACTAAAGAGGACTTCTCAATCCAGATTTTTAGATTTCTGGTATGTGTATTCGATTATTTATAGTGGTTATGTGTGTAAATGATTGAAATTATGGCATGTTTAAATTTATATAGTTTTTGTCTTTTTATTGTAAAAAAATTTAACACGAATTTATCTTAAATTATTTAGTATACAGTATTAACAGTATTTACATTGTGTTAAATTTAAATTCTTATTTCTTATGAATTCACAGATTTACAGTCCCTTTAACTGTAGGTCATAGGTAATTAAATTTGAATTATAAAACATAGCAACGGACAAAACATGATCTTTATGAGGATTTTTCTTTTATTTTAGAGTTTCCTTGGCGGCTTTTTTGGTCCCATTTGTGAGATTGATGTTGTCCTTAATGATGGGGAAACCAGGAAAATGGCGGAAATGAAAACTGAAGATGGCAAAGTAGAAAAACACTATCTTTTCTATGATGGGGAATCTGTTTCAGGAAAGGTAAATTGTTTGTTTGTAGAATTCTAGAATTAATCACCAAAGTGGTATCTGCTGTTTCTAAATGTGAATGATCTTTTAGAGATGGAGTTCTTTTTTCGGAGATTCAGCCAAAAACCTTGCTTTATTAAAGAACATTTACAAGAAAGATACTTAAACTAGAAAAGTTACAGCGACAGAGTTTAAATTAAATTGTGTGCAAAATTTGTGTTGGTGACTAACTGCTTCTGACAGTTTCTCCAATGGGGGTGCAATCCATGCAAAATTTGTTGAATTATAGAGATTAAGAAAATTCCCTAGTATACTTTTCTAAATGTTTCTAATTCTTTGTAGCTTATCTCTCTATACTACCACCATTATAGCTCTCATTTCTTGATGCCCTGGGGAGGAGTATTTTGGAATGTGTCTCTGCATGGTCAGATACATTTATAATACCTCCTATAAGATTTCACTTTCCTTTCCCTTATCAAATAATGTATAAGATTCTTTAAAAATATATATATATATATTTATAAATATATATATTTATAAATATACATATAATCAATAATATATATATATATTATTGATTTTTTAGGAAGAGAGGAAGAGAGAGGGATAGAGAGTTAGAAACATTGATGAGAGAGAAACATCGATCAGCTGCCTCCTGCACATCCCCTAGGGATGTGCCCACAACCAAGGTACATGCCCTTGACCGGAATCGAACCCTGGACTTTTCAGTCTGCAGGTCGATGCTCTATCCACTGAGCCAAGCTGGTTTCGGCAAGATTCTTTTTTTTTTTTTTTTTTTAATGTATAGAATTCTTATATCTTAGGGAATCAATAGTCATTAGTCTGTGATACTTATGAATGGTAATATCATAGACAAAGTCAAGTCATAAAAACACTTGAAATAGTTTTTTTTTTTTTAAGTATCAAATAATGAGAGGTTTTTCTTCCCTGCTTATTAAAGTAATACAGACACATATTAAACAATTTGGAAAATAAAATAACTATAATGTCATCATCTGGGAAAAAATCCACTGTTAAAATTTGTGCTTCTTCCTAGTCTCTGCATTAATTAATGTTTCTAGCTCTCTATCCCTCTCCCTTCCTTTCTGTAAAAAATCAATAAAATATATATTTTTTAAAAAGTATCACTGAATTGGTGTTAAAACTCTTTAGCCCAGTTCACCCTCATAATTTTACTTATTTTTCTATGCTCCATTGCAGAATAGCTTTTAAACCAGTTTACTTAATTATGCCTTTCTATTTTGGGATTCTTCAGATTCCTCTATAGCTTGAATTAGGCTTAAAATATATATAAAGCCATTGACTGTAACGCCGGAAGGACCAGTTGCTATGATGCCCACTGCACCAGTGAACCCAGCCTGATTGGGGGGGTGGGGCTGGCCTGCAAACCCTTGGCGACCCCAAGCTTAGGCCAGCCCTGCTGCCCAGCGGGTACCCCCGACCACCCAGATTAGGGTCGTGGCCAGCCTGCAAACCACCTGTAGCCCTTCAACCAAGCTGGCCCCATCCCCAGTGGGGACTCCCACCCTGATTGGGGCATGGTCGGCTTGGGTAAGGGGCTGTGGGCAGTTTGCAGGCCAGCCACGCAACCAATAAGGGGAGGGGGTCCCTGCTGGGGGCAGGGCCAGCCTGCAAACCCCCGGTTGCCCCTCGTCCAAGCTGGCCCTACCCCCCCAACAGGGACCCCTTACCTCGATTCAGGGCTCCCACATGTGCACCAGATCTCTTTCCTATGTAATAAAATTGTAATATGCAAATTGACCCTAATGGCAGAATGACTGCTGGACCAGTCACTATGAGGCACACTGACCACCTCTTGGTCTCTTTCCGGGCTGGCAGGTTCCTATTAGGCAATCCGCAGAAGGGGTGGGCTGGAGAGCGAGCAGGAACAGCTAACCTCTCGGTCCCTTCTCCTGCTGTCAGGCACTGATCACCCCATGGCGCTCAGTGCAGCAGCTGCCCCCTGGTGGTCAGTGCGCTCCCACAGGGGGAGCACTGCGTGGCCAGAAGCGGGGTCCACAGCTGGCGAGCGTAGTGGTGGTGGTAGGAGTCTCTCCCGCCTCTACTGTAGGCGGTGGTAAGGGGTGAGGGGTCCCAGACACACACACACACACACACACACACACACACACACACACACACGAAAAAACCCTGGAGAACTACCAAGAAAGAAACATAATTATAATCCAAAAGTAGCTGCTGTTAAGAGAATTTGTTTTCTGTGGTTTTAAAAAATATAATTAGCATTATAGTTGTATACAGTTTGACCATGCTTCCTTCATGTAACATATCATGCACATCTTCCCACATCATTAAAAATTCTTTGACCATATTATTTTTAAACTTTAATAATATTTCATTATATGATGTACCACAATTTAATTATTTTTTTCCTGAGATATTAATTTGGAAGGCAGGTAACTAACTCATCCTAGTTACAAATATGAAAGATACAGAAGAGGGATTATTTTAATTTATATAGTTTATAATAAGTAATTGGACCTCTCTTTTTTTTTTTTTTTTTTTTTTTTTTTTTTTTTTTTTTATTGGTCCTCGATTTCCATTATCTTTTGAGAAGCATTGTTGGGAAAAAAGCATTAAAGAGTCACATTACCAATATTTTCTATAGTAAAGAAAATGTTTTTATTAGTTAATCCTTAAACATTTGGACTTTTATTTTAATATGCATGCACTTTACAGATATTTGGTCAAATTAAGATTTTATAAAATTAATATTTTTAATAAAATGAAAGGTATAACCTGTTCCAGAATTGGGCATGTGTTGTTATAAACTTAGGCTAGTGATATATAGCAAATAATAAAACTATTAAAAATGTGTTCCATTTGTGAAAAAAAATTAAAATTTTCATTTGGCAAATATGAATTCAGGGATTTTGAGATTATATATTTTACCTCATAAGCATGTAAGACAAATCATATTCAAAATTTAAATCTTTAGACATTACTAGTATGTTTTTAAGATGAGTAGCACACAGAATGGAAGCATTGCTTTTAAGGTAAGGAATTAACCTATATAATAAAAGCCCAGTGACCAAATGGTGGAACGACCAGAATGACTGCTCAACCAGTTGTTATGACACACACTGACCACCAGGGGGCAGACACTCAATGCAGGAGCTGCTGCCTGGTGGTCATTGCACTGTCACATTGGGAGTGCCACTTGGCTGACTGGGATAAGCGGCTGCTCCCACTGCAAACCTTGGGCAGATGGGCAGGAACCGGGGCTGCCATTGTCACCTCCTTGTCCAAGGCTCCTCCTCCCCTCTCCCTGCTGCCTCCTCTGGATGCCTGAAGACCGTGCAGCGTTCCCTCCGGCTCGTGGAGCTGACCCTGGAGCTTGGAATTGGGTTGCTGGCTGCTATGGGACTGAGGCCTACTCTGCTGCCTCTCAGTGCTATTGTCCCTGGGCCTGGCCCTGACTGGGTTCCCTGGAAAGGCGAGTGCTCTGGCTCCACAAAGATGCTAGATCAGGGAGCAGCTGCTCAGAGGGCGGGTCCACAGCTGCTTGGATGACCGGGATGAGCGGCGGTCCCACAGCGGGCAATTCCCGCGGGCCATGCCCCCACCCGTGCACGAATCCCATGCACCAGGCCTCTAGTAGCAAGATAATCTTGGTTACAAAAAGCTGAAAGTGATCTTTTAGATCAATTCTTGGAGTTAATGATTACCTTACATTAAAATGCTTTTGTTGTAGGATTGTATAACTATTTGACTAGAAAACACATTGGAATAGTTGAAAGTTTCCCCCCTTTTTTGATGAAATATTTATAGTTCTCCAGATATAAGGATTCCTTCCCAAAAATGCAGATATTCTAAGGGTATATGTAATAGGTTCATTAGTGATTGTATCTGAGTAAGTTATATGTTCTGTGCTCATGATTTAGGTATTTGGTGGTGTCTCAAACTTCAGAAATAAATACCTGAAATTCTTAAACATTACTTTCATCTGGAAGGAATCAGTTAGTAGGCCCATTCAAAGGATTAACATCTCGTACAATTTCATGTTTTGGCAGGTGAACCTAGCCTTTAAGCAACCTGGAAAGAGGCTAGAACACCAAGGAATTAGAATTGAATTTGTAGGTCAAATTGGTGAGTTGTAAAATAGTATTACTTTTTTTCTTTGAGTTTGAAGAGGATTGGAGATAGCACTTAAATAATTGAATTAGATTTTAGCTTTGTAGAAGGAATTGATTTTATATAATAAAAGGAATTATTTTATAAACATTAAATCATGTTTCTTTGAATTGTTTATCTGCTTTTATTGTTAAAATTAATTACTAAACATGAAAGGAGTTATGTAACCTACCAGCCTTGAAAAATAATTCAGCTAAATTATTTGACTCATTGAAATTTCTATCTGCCTCAATTTTTTTCACCAGCTTTACTCACAATTATGTGTCACCTTCATCCATCACTTTCCAGTTACCCATGCCATTTGTCTTCCTAATCTAGTGTTTGCCTGTAGCCACTCATTTGTCAACAGAAAATTCTGTGAGAAAGGAAAGTTTCTTATTGACCTAGATTAACTTGTGTACATTTCCATACATATGTTTTAGAGACATTCTTGATTTAGCAGTATAACTATAAATTTTTGGTGCTGTAGGTTCAGGAAAGAGAAAATAGGTCTTTATAATACTGTATATATAGCTAGGTTTTAAATCTTAAGTTTTATTGTATATTTTTAAAATATATTTGGAATGGATGTGTGCTTATTCACATCTATTCTTGATGAGATTATACTTGAGCAAGTTATAATAATTAACTGATAGTTGATTTTAGTTTTTTGTATATTATAGTTTTTATCAATTTGCTTAACAAAGCAAAAGAATAAAACACTTTTTGCCTCGAAGGGAGGAAATTCAAATAATTGCTGGAGATTTGTCTTAAGTTAGCTTCATATTGGGCAAACCCTCACTACATTAAAGGAATGAATTTATTTGCTTTGGAGGTAGAAATTTGGGTTTTAATGAAATGATACTAAATATAATTGGTCTTTTGCTTTTTAAAATTCCTTAGAACTTTTCAATGACAAGAGTAATACTCACGAATTTGTAAACCTAGTGAAAGAACTAGCCTTACCTGGAGAACTGACCCAGAGCAGAAGTTATGATTTTGAATTTATGCAAGTTGAAAAGCCATATGAATCTTACATCGGTGCCAATGTCCGCTTGAGGTATGAATTAGGTGTATTAGGAACTATAGACAGAGTCAAAACTACAAAATAATGGTTGCTGCTGAATGTCTTAGAACGTCTGTTATAATTCTAGACTTAAGGTTTTTAGAAATTTTGTCAAATATTTTGTTTTGTCTGACTAATGCTAATCTTCTGAGATAGTAAGAGCCTTCTATCATTATAGATTTAGAGGACCCCATTATGAGAAGTCTTATTCATATATTTCCTTTATATGAATTATTCCTTAGGTACTTTATTTGTTGTGTAAATGGATTACCCTCTAAATCCATTAGTTTCCCAATAGATCACATTTACTGTATCATTAAGGAGTGGTCCAATAGGCTTGATGCTAGCACTCCAAATTCATCTAAAAAGTATGTACACTAGTTTTAAAATTGAACTGTTGTCTTTTGTTTTGTTTTCATGGTGGGAGCATTTATTTAAAAATTAGAATTCCTTCATAAAATAAATGAAGTTGATCCCAAAAGAGTTCTAACAAGGATGAAAGCTGAGTCAACAGTTAATTTTTGTTTTTTTAAACACTGAAACTTATCATAGGAGATTTAACTTGACTTTTCTATTAACTTCATAGGTATTTTCTTAAAGTGACAATAGTAAGAAGACTGACAGACTTGGTAAAAGAATATGATCTTATTGTTCACCAGCTGGCTACCTACCCTGATGTTAACAACTCTATTAAGATGGAAGTGGGCATTGAAGATTGTTTACACATAGAATTTGAATATAATAAATCAAAGTAAGTACCTTTCACAAACAGATAGCTTAAATGTGCAGGGAAAATTAAGAAGTAGCTTTTCAGGTTTTTGTAAATTGGTCAAAATGAGGGTAGAATTGACATTAATCTGCTGATAACAGACCAACAGAAACTCTGAGCCAAAATAAACTTTAGTAGGAGTTTGTTCTGGCTTCTGACTCAGTGTAAGTGTCTTTCATATTCTATTCCTAATAAATTTCCACCTGGTCATTTTTTTATAGAGCATCTTATGATCTCAGAAGGCAGCTAAACCTTATGTCTAAAATTTTATTTTACTGGCCTGACATCACTTTAACCTGATCATCTTTTTAAAACTAAATAAAAATACATTTTTTCTGACAACATAAACAATAAATATATTGTCATTATTGAAAATTTTGATAATGTGGGAAAGTCAAAGGAAATAAAAATATCACAAATTTTCACTTTTACCATTTAACCACAATCAATATATTCTCATATATTTTTTCCATGTAAAAGGGAGAGGTATATATGTTTATATTTGTTGTATTTTTATAGAAATGTTTTTAAAAAAATATATAATTGATTTCAGAGGGGAAGGAAGAGGGAGAAATAGAAACATCAATGATGAAAATCATTGATTGGCTGCCTCCTGCATGCCCCTACTGGGGATTGAGCCCGCAAGCCAGACGTGCCCTTGATTGGAATTGAACCCAGGACTCTGAGTTCATAGGCTGACACTCTGTCTACTGAGCCAAAACGGTTAGGGCTGGGCTCTTATAGTTTAATGCCTTTTTAAGCTTTATGATGGAAATTTTCAAACACATACCAAAGTATCTGAACAGTATAATGAATCCTCATGTATCCATTGTCCAGCTCCAACTATTCAGATTTGTTTTGTCTGTATTCAGCCCCACACACCCATTATATTATATAGCAGCATATTCCAGACATAAAATTTCTCCCATAAAAATTATGTATTGGCCAAAACCGGTTTGGCTCAATGGATAGAGCGTCAGCCTGCGGACCAAAAGGTCCTGGGTTTGATTCCAGTCAAGAGCATGTACCTTGGCTCGGGTACATCCCCAGTAGGGGGTGTGCAGGAGGCAGCTGATTGATGTCTCTCTCATCGATGTTTCTAACTCTCTCTCTTCCTCTCTGTAAAAAATCAATAAAATATATATTTTTAAAAATTATGTATCGCCCTGGCTGGTTTGGCTCAGTGGATAGATAGTTGTCCTGCGGATTGAAGGGTCCTAGGTTCAATTATGTTCAAGGGCACATGCCCGGGTTGCAGGCTTGATTCCCAGTAGGGGGCATGTAGGAGGCAGCTAATCAATGATTCTCTTTCATCATTGATATTTATATCTCTCCCTCTCTGAAATAAATAAAGGGGGGGGGGAAGCTAGATTTAAAAATTATCATTTTTAATGTAACTATTATATCTAAAAAATAATAATAATTAATATCTTCACATACCCAGTCAGTGTTCACATTTCTGTAAATTGTCTCATGCAGGGTTTGTTCAAATCAGTGTTCAAACAAGATTTGTTCTATCCAAAAACATTGAATTTGGTTGGTTGGCTCTTAAATCTAATTTATAGGTTTCCCCCTATTTTTTTCATTAAAGTTTATTTGTTGAAGAAATGGATGTATACACTCTTTTATCTCCTTCCTGCATACTCTTCTCTCACATGGTTTTTATTAATTGTCACTCCCTAGTTGTTTTTTTAAGAATTGTCTTTGCAACTTTGACAATCAATTGACCATGTTTATTACTAGAGTATTCCAATACATGTTTGTGTATTATTAGAGTGTTCAGAAAGGAAGAGTGAGGGTGAGAGAGAGAGAAACATCAATGATGAGAGAGATTCAATGATTGGTTGCCTCCTGCACACCCCTTACTAAGGATTGAGCCTGCAACCGGGGCATGTGCCCTGACCTGGAATGGAACTTGGGACCCTTCAGTTCACAGGCTGATGTTCTATCTACTGAGCCAAACCAGCTAGGGCCACTCCCCAGTTTTTATCACTGAAAATGTGATATATATCTTTCAGAATCTTTTTTTTAAAAATATATTTTATTGATTTTTGTACAGAGAGGAAGGGAGAGAGAGAGTTAGAAACATCAATGAGAGAACCATCGATCAGCTGCCTCTTGCACACCCCCTACTGGGGATATGCCCGCAACCAAGGTACATGCCCTTGACCGGAATTGAACCCGAGGCCCTTCAGTCCCCAAGCCAACGCTCTATCCATTGAGCCAAACTGATCCTGGCTCTTTCAGAATCTTAAATTATGTTGTTGATAAAATTATTAGATAGTTTAGGACCTAAAAACTTGTCACTAGGGGCCTTCCTTCAGACTGACATAATTGCATTAGTTAACTCCTGGGATATTATTTGGGAGAAGGCTTATAAAGACCTCTGGGTATTGTAGGAATTCCCATTTTATTACCACTTCATTTCAAGGTACTTGGGAAAGATCTTTTTTAAAAATATGTTTTATTGATTTTTTACAGAGAGGAAGGGAGAGGGATAGAGTTAGAAACATCGATGAGATAGAAACATCAATCAGCTGCCTCCTGCCCATTCCCCACTGGGAATGTGCCCGCAATCAAGGTACATGCCCTTGACCAGTATCGAACCTGGACCTTATGTCTGCTGGCTGACTATCCACTGAGTCAAATCGGTTAGGGCAAAAGATCTTTGATTATTAAACGAGGCCAGGTGATTTGTTAGCTATACTATTCTAGCACTCAGAGTAATAATGACACTAAACTCTTGTGTACAGTTTTTGTTCAAAAACATCTTCATACACCAAATTAATATTTCAAGTATAAGAATCTTAGTTTTCCATGCTTAAGTTCTTTGGAAACTAAGTTAATTTCTGGGTAAGGAATAGTAATCAGGCTAATTCTTCCTTTTGAGATGTATTGAAGTCAAGTAAAAGTTTCATTCCTTATTTTTATAGTACAGTTATGTGCTGCATAACATCATTTTGGTCAGCAACACACCTCATGTACAACAGTGGTATACCATAAACCTCAGTGTGTAGGCTATGCCATCTAGGTTTGTGTAGTGCACCCTATGATGTTTGCACAGCAGAGTCCCCTAATGATGTGTTTCTTAGAATATTTCCCCATCATTAAGCAGTGCACACTGTAAAATGATTAACACTTTTTTGAAAAAGAGGAACATTAAACAATATGAATAGTCAAAATGGTATTCTTACATAGCTATTAACCTAGAGATGTCTAATAAAGGCTTTCAGGACTTATTTTACTAGTTCTCTTTGTTTTTTTAAATATTTGTATAAGTGAGATATATTCTTTCTCCAAAGGTATCATTTAAAGGATGTGATTGTTGGAAAAATTTACTTCTTATTAGTAAGAATAAAAATCCAACACATGGAGTTACAACTGATCAAAAAAGAGATCACAGGAATTGGTAAGTTGAAGGAGTATTTGAATGAAAATTCCTGTTTAGTTGAAATTTTAAAATCTTAAAATATTATTTGAACATAAAATTCATATTAGATATTATCTTTGATAATATTGCTGGCAGTAAGTCACACATTTATATTTTTTTAAATTTGATTTTTGAATACAGTAGTTCCCCCTTATCCATGGGGGATACATTTTAACTAGTTAATTAACTAATTCATTAATTATTAATCCTTCCCTGAGGATGTTTTCCATTGATTTTTAGAGAGAGTGGAAAGGAGGGTGGGGGGAGGAGAGAGAGAGAGAGGGATAGAGAAAGAGACATCAGTGGGAGAGAGACAAATTGATTGGTTGCCTCCTGAACCTATCCCCACTGGGGCTGGAGATTGAACCTGCAACCCAGGCATGTATCCTTGACGCGGAATTGAACCCACACCCCTTTGGTGCAGAAGTTGATGCTCTAACCAGTGTCTGACACTGGCCAAGGGCTAGGGGATACCTTTGAAGACTGAAGTGAATGCCTGAAATTACAGATAGTATTGAACTCTATATATACTTTGGGTTTTTTTTCTATGCATACAGATTTATGGAAAGTTTAATTTATAAGTTAGGCATAGTAAGAGATAAATGATAAAGAACAATTATAACATTATACTATAATAAAATTATGTGAATGTGTCTCTTAGAATGTCTTACTGTACAGTATTTACCTTTCTTGTGGTCATATGAGATGCTACAATGCCTATGTGATGGGATGAAGTGAGCTGAATGATGTAGGCATGGTGACATAGTGTTAAGTACTATACGGGTTACTTGAACACAAGCACTGCAACACCAAGCACTGCCTGTGTGTGTACCTGTGTACTAAGTGATGAACAGGCAGCTTATATAGCGTGGATACAGTGGACAAAAATGATTCATGTCCCAGGCAAAATGGAATGGGACTGCACGAGATTTCATCATGCTACTCAGAACAGCGAATAATTTAAAACTTATGAATTGTTTTTCTGGAATTTTCCATTTAATATTTTTGGACCATGGTTGACTGCAGGTAACTAAAAACAGGGTCCCAGGTTCAATTCTGGTCAAGGGCATGTACCTTGGTTGCGGGCACATACTCAGATGAAGGTGTGCAGGAGGCAGCTGATAGATGTTTCTCTCTCATCGATGTTTCTAAGATCTCTCTCCCTTCCTCTCTGTAAAAAATTAATAAGACATCTTTTTTTTTTTTTTAAAGAAAGTTAGTTATTTAAAGACATTAAAACCAAACTTCAAGTTCCCATTTGTTGTTTTAAAAATTGTTTATTGAAACATTTTTTCTGAGTATAAAAATTGTTTGATTCTAGAAAAATTAAAAAAAATAATCTATAGTCATAATCCAGAACAGACTTTAGTCTTTGCATGTGTGGCTCAGTGATTGAGCGTCAACTTATGAACCAGGAAGCAACCATTTGATTCCTGGTCAGGGCACATATCCGGGTTGTGGGCTCGATCCCCATTGTAGTGTGTGCAGGAGGCTGCCGATCAATGACTCTCTCTTATCATTGATGTTTCTCTTTCTCTCTCCCTCTCCTTTCTTCTCTGAAATCAATTTTAAAAAAAAGGTCAACATTTTCACAAAATAGAAAGATAAATTAGTACTAAAATGTAGTAGGAAAATGAGAAGAACTGGAAATTATATTATGGAAATATTTAATATCATTTACATTATTGCACTAGGACCCAGTACCACAACAGAAACAGAAACAATTGCTAAATATGAAATAATGGATGGTGCACCAGTCAAAGGTAACATTTTTCATTTGTTTCTTTTGTGTTATAGGTAGTACAAACAGCAGTGTTCATGACAGTTTTGTTTGAAAGTATTTACGTAGTATAAGAATTTTTGTTGGGGGAAAAAAGAATCTTTGTGTATTCTGAAGATGATTTTCTTTAATGATGATTTTCAAGATCATCTATGTGTGTGTGTGTGTATATATATATATATATATATATATATATATATATATACTGAGATTATAATAGTACTTTGTAGTCTGAAATAATGTTTATTTTTTTTTTTTTGCTGTTTACATTTACAATTTAGAAGGCATGTATATCTTCTCTAGTTCTGAATTTGTAATATTATTGTACTTTGTTATTATAATTTATCTCTGTAAATCTTTTTGATTCTTGCTGAATGTAAGGTGAAATATAGGTGAGCATTAATTCCTGTGGGATTTTAGAGTCCTTATAGCCCCCCCAAATATAAGCAGTTTCATTACTAGATAATCTTCAGTATGTAAAATAATAAAGCCAATATTTAACATTTTAAATGTATGCCTTTGGCTTTTCTAACTCTGCTAGTAATTCAAAAAGTAGCTATTGTTTATTAAATGCCAACTACTGCCAGGTGTTCTGTAGTTCCCCGCCACCCTTTGAATTGGGTGGTGGTATCCTATGTCACAGATGAAAGATGCAGAGAGGTTAAAAAAAAACCTGTTAAAGGTGATACAGTATAGGGGAGGCAGAACTTGACTTCTCCCCATCTTAGATTTTTAGCTGGGACTGTTGAACAAAAAGATTACTAAGAGAAGAGAGTTTGCTTAACGTATGCAGTGCACATTGTGCAGGAGAAACTTCAACAAAACATTTCAAAGTGGTGGCTTAGAATTTCAGTTATAATATAGCATCTTCAGAAGGACAGTACATTTGGACAGCAATGGCTAGACAAAGAAAGTAAATTTTAGGCTTCTAAGGGCGGCAAACTGGGGGAGTGTAAATACATGGGAGGAAACTGATGATTCCTTTGGTGCTATCCCTGGGCTGATGAATCTGTCTCCATTAAGGGAAAATTTGTATCCTGCCTTTAGGCTGAAAAGGGGAAGCATTTTTGCTTTTGTTGCTTCTTAATTGCCTTAGACTCAAAATAATGTCAGAGGCATATTCTGTGAAGACATTCTGGTTTCCTAATCATTGCAGAGTTGGAGTTTGAGCCCAGTCCTTTCTGACTCCAAGCCCCGTGTGTGTGCTGTTTTCCAGCAGCCACAACTTTTTTTTTTTTTTTTTTTTTTTTTTTTTTTTTTAAATCAATCTTTATTGTTCATATTATTACAAAGGTTCCTCATTTCTTCCCCCCTCCACCAGGTTCCCACCCCACCCTCCGTCCCCCCCCCCATCCCCCATTGTCCTCATCCATAGGTGCAGTTTATGTTCAGTCTCTTCTTCCCTCAATTTCCCCAATAGTAAATCCCTTTTCAGATAGTAAATCAGTTACTTAGCATTTTCTCATATCAATAATACCTCCACATGCCCAATGATACACTTCACACAAAAGACATTTCCCACTAGGTCAACCAGCCTCATCCAGGCCCCACCCAAGGCACTCACAGATCAACACCCCAGTCCTAAACTAACTCAACACATCCAGATCTAAGCCTTCATCACTTGATTCAGCAGACCCTCAAGTTCCCACGAAAGTTTCCAGCCATGTCTGAGAAGCAGCCGTGGGGCAGGGGCAGGCAAGGAGCGAGCTGTTCTGGGCCTGGCTGCTCAGGGCCTGGCCTCTGTTGCTCTGGTTCATTCCACAACCAGCTGCTCCGGGTCTGGTCACTGTTGCTCCCGACCCAGTTGCTCCGGACTTGGCTGCTGCTGCTCCGGGCCTGCCAGCAGCCACAACTTTTAATCTAAAATGATGCGTTTTATATCTCAGGAAATAGATGTGTAATACAATAATACAAGAAATGTATTATATAAAAAGATTCCAAACAATATGCAAACAGTTACCCCTAGGAAAAGAGAAGCCATGAGAATCTGAATAGCAACTTTTTTTTGTTTGTTTGTTTGTAATAAAGGAATGTCATCATTCTGAACATGTTTGTTACTTTGGATAAATTAGTAATAAGTATACAAGAATTTAAACACATGATTAGAAATTATGGTAAACAGTGAAAACAGAAGATAAAACCACTAAAGTAGCACTTAACCTGCTGGCACTGTTCTAAGACTTTTATATCTAGTGTTAACCCATATACTAGTAGTCTTAACAAGTTCTTTGTAAGATGGGTGTTATTGGTTCCCCATTTCACATATGAGGAACTCGAAACAGAATTGTTAAGTAATTTGGTGAAGGCCATGCATCCAGGAAACCATAGAGTTGGGATTAGAATTTAGGCATTCTGGTGCCAGAACAGTGGTTCTCATCTAGGGGCAGTTTTGCCACCATCACCCCTCCCTACTCACTACTCCCACCCTAGTAGATTTGGCAATAGTTGGAGACATTTTTGGTTGTCACATTTGGGAAATGCTGCTGGAATCTTGTGGGTAGAGGCCAGGGATGCTACTAACCCTCTTACAGTGCATAGGACCTTACCCACACCAAAGAATTAACAAGCTCAAAATGTTAATAGTGCCAAGGCTGAGAAACCCTGGTTTAAAGTTTTCTTTACGCTGCCCACTCATGAAGAATGGAAGAATTGTTATCTTCTCTATAAAGATTAGTTCTGGTTATGTAACTATATTTAATAATCTTTTAAAATTCAGTGGAAATTGCTTTTCTTTCAGGTGAATCAATTCCAATAAGGCTATTTTTAGCGGGATATGACCCAACTCCAACAATGAGAGATGTGAACAAAAAATTTTCAGTAAGGTACTTTTTGAATCTGGTCCTTGTTGATGAGGAAGACAGAAGGTACTTCAAGCAACAGGTATGGTGCTACCCAGGCTGGTATTTTGTTCAGTGACAGTTATAAAAACACCGGGACAAACTCATTTTTCTAAGTTTTATTATATTGAGCAAGCGGGTTAATAATAAGTGAAAACCTGAGAGTATGGTAAGAAAGTAGGTGTGAATGGAATCGTATTGTGATAGATCTCATCCCAATCATTCTGCAAGACTCTGGAATGGCTACAATTTAGCAGGGCTTTTATTTTTCTTAAGAGTTTTCTTTTTTATAAATACCTACTATTTGTAGAAACAAACAAACAAAACAAACCCACAAAACAAAAACAAAAAGGCAGTAAAGAACAAATTGAAGTAAAGGTCATCAAAAATTCCACCTTCATTGTGTTTAATATTCCAGACAAAATTATGCATGTGTTTAGAACACATAAAGCATGTTCTTTACTTTTTCACTCAGCAGTGTCTTGTTGTGATTAAAAATTTTAAAAAATATATTTTTATTGATTTCAGAGAGGGAGGGAAAGGGAGAGATAGATAGAAATATCATGGATGAAAGAATCATTGATTGGCTGCCTCCTTCACATCTACTGCAGATCCAGCCCGCAACCTGGGCACATGCTGTTGACCAGAATCGAACCTGGGACCCTTGAGTCTGCAGGCCAACGCTCTCTCCACTGAGCCAAACTGGTTAGGGCATTTTAGTTGTAGTTTTAAAGTGGTTGTGCAAGGCAGCAAGTTCAGGTGTTTACCTATGCTGCCATCTTGGTTTCCCCCCAGATTTATTTTTTAAATCAGCAATAGCTAAAATTTTGTGTCAGATTGGATTGGTGATGGTGGTGTGCATGTGAGCTGGTGGGGGCAGAGTTGGCAGAAAGGACATTCCAAGATTAGAACTATAGGAAAGTAGGTCAATCAGGGCTTTTAGTAGGGACGAATTTCATTTTGTTTTGGTTAAAATAGAAATGGCAGCATTTTCATGATGAAAATTTAAGGCATAATATGAGAACATTGATTTGTTATCTTGTATTTCTTTTACTAGGAGATCATTTTATGGAGAAAAGCTCCTGAAAAACTGAGGAAACAGAGAACAAACTTTCACCAGCGATTTGAATCACCAGAACCACAGGCCTCTCCTGAACAGCCTGAAATGTGAACTGAAAAGGAGAAAAAAATAAAAACTCTTAAACTGTTGAGATTAAGTTTGGCTGATTAAAGATGGTTGCAGCATGAAGTGGGGGGAAGGCCAAAAGTCCATGTATAATAGTCTTCCTTTATCTTACAGTGCTGCATTTATTTTATGATATAACTAAATATTCTTACATGTACTACATTTTAAAAAGTGCTTTCTTTGAAACACTGGAACTTTCTTAAGCTGCCGTTGTTTTTTTTTACTGCACACTTTGATGATAAGCACTCATATATGCATCAGTATAAACATTAAAGATTTTCATGAGTAGGCTGGTAATTGTAATTTTGCTTTCTTTATGCATAATGCAGACTATAAACCAATTTCTTCTATTTTATGCCTATAATTACCTCTTATCCTCTACATACAAAATTAAATATTTTGTGTGTTCAAATAAAATTGGAAAACCTGAGGGGCCCTTACATCCTACAGAGATTTAAAACATGGCATCTTAATATTTTTGAGTACCACATTTATGTTCTTACATCATGTGTATTTGAAAAATGCAAATGGAATGTTGCACTGTAAGTGCTTCTCAGTGTACCATTCCAAAGCTTTCTCAGTTTTGTTCTTTGAAGTCTTCTTTAGTTAAAAATATTAACGTTTTCCTTGCAGAAATTATGTGGCATGTCCTTTACAGTCTTTTTTTCTTTTCTTTTTTTCCTATCATGCTAAATAACCATTATACTACTATCCAGCAGGTACACTGTATTTTTCTGCAATGTGGAGTTGAAACTATATTGGCATTTAGAATTTGTTAAAACTAATTTTTCTGTTAATTCTTTGAAAAAAATTTTTTTAATTTAAGGAATCTTTACTACATACATGCAAATATAATTTTCTTGACTTTACAAGTATTCTCTTCCCTTTGAAGTGAGAATTTGAGGATGGGGTGATTTAGGTGGACCTGTTAGTAAGCATATAGTTATCCAGATCTGGGACAGTATGTTTGTTAAATTGGAACTTGGGCTCGTTCAAACTCAATTTTAAATTTCACCCACTCTGTTTAAATTTTAATACTGAACTCAAGTCATTTGTTCAATGTCTGTAAAAAAGCTGCAGTCATGTGCCTAAGGTCTGATCTCAGACACACTAAATGTGGGGTATAGGAACTAAAACAACGAAGCCTGTTGTGTGAAACTACTCCACATATGATTCATTGGTTTTTGTACCAATATATTTTATACACTTCAGTGCAAGTCTTGTGAGTTAACCTTACTTTATGAGTAAGCTAAGTAATCCAGATTACATTTCTTTAAACTTGTTTTACTACTATGGCACTTTGATAAAATGGTCGGTAACCAACTTTTCTGGCAACAGGTTCCATGTGCCATGTGCTGGAGCATCTATTTTAAATGTGGATATATGTAAATGGTCATATTTCCCTTTCATGCAAGTGCCTGTTCAGAGTTTCAAAATTTAAAAATGCCAAATATTCTCATGGTCACTTGCATGTAATCTAGAAAATATTCACAGGAAATTTGAGAACCAATTGTATTTATCCAGCCTCAAATCATGTGACCATGGTGTATAATAAAGAATTTGAAACAGATACTGAACTTGCGTTTAAGTGGTTAAAATAATTCTTTTCTCAGATCTCTTCTCATTGTCAGATTGCTCAACAGTTCAGGAAGCTATAATTAAGAAAATTAAAATTTTTATAAATATTGCCAGTTTCAATTTTAAATAGCTATATAAAGCTATTAATTAGGTGGCTTAAAACATCAAATGGAGAAACTGGATAACCAATGGGTGTGGGCTGCCTGTCACTACTTGAGCCAATGAAGCAGAGACAGAGTTGAATCATATATGAGCGTTTATTCCAGTACTGCCGGCAGTATGGGAGAGCACAGGTCAGCCACAGAAGTCTGCTCTCCTCCTCCCCATAGGCCAGTTGTTTACATTGGGCAGAAGGACAAAGATTACTTGGGAAAATAGAAATTACAGGATGGGAAGTAGGCAAAGTATAATGGTTACAGGTAACAGGCAGTGTGGTCTGGGGGGTTCACAAAGCCCCAGGACCAAATTATTTCGGCAACAAAGTTGTTAATATTTTGTTTTGATCGTTTCTTGGAAAAGCAGAATGGACTGCATTGTGATGCTTACTCCCATATCCCGGGGTGTACAACATTCAGCCAGGTTAGAATGTGCTTTCTCCAATCAAAACAGGACAATCCCGGATAACAGCATGATTAACATTTCTTATAGCTAGTCCCCACTATTCTATTTCTGCCTCTAACAATAGGATGCTTACTTTGCTTGACTTAGTTGCAGAACCAATTTGAAAAATAAAAATTTGAATTCAGTATTTGGTGAATTGAGTAAAAAGCTGGCCAGCTAATCTGAGTAAACTGGAAAAATAACTTGTGTTTTCATCGTGTTCAGTCTCTAATCCAGAGGTTCTCAATCCTGGCTGCATGTTTGTTTTTAAATATATTTTTATTGATTTTAGAGAGGGAGAAGAAGAAATAGAAATTTCAATGATGAAAGAGAATCATTGATCAGCTGCTTCCTGCACACCCCCTACTGGGGATCAACTCATGTGCCCTTGACTGGAATCGAACCCAGGCAGGCCGATGCACTATCTCCATTGATCCAAACCAGCTAGAGCCTGGTTGCATGTTTAAATCACTTCACTAGTTTTTGAAAATAACTATTCCGGATCCTACTCAGGCCACTAAAATCAGAATTTCAGGGTCCTGGACATCAGCATTAAAAAGAGCTACCCAGATCACTGTCTGAATCATTTAAATAGTTATTTTTCTCACTAGTGAAGAATTCTCATTGTTCTGAATTGTGGATAACTTTTTTCTCTAACTCATCTATGTTTGAACCTGCTAATGAAACTGACAAAAGACAGATTAGCAGGAGAAAAACAGATTTGAATATAAGGGAATTTATGAAACTGAAAGGGTTGGTTAAATTTGGGGCTTAAATTAATTGATAGGGGGAAATGGGGTAAAGAACACTTGCAAGTGATTTCTTAGGAGTATTTGGGGGGGAGAAAGGACATGGAAAAGCAAATGACTCTCAGGAAAAATACATACCTGGGTTCTTAGGAAAATAGATGGCAGACAGGATAGTTCTGTGCCAGAGTCTATTTAGGTTGTCTGGTGCTGAGTTAACCTCCCCCGGTTGCTCCCCAAAGAGGTGTATGATAATTGAGTTCTTTTGGGAGGCTCTGCTTTCAGGCAGATAGGGACTTCAGGAACTCAAATATTTAACACTTTTACACCACAGTGGCATATTCTGGAACCCTTTAGTGTGGATGAAGTAGTTGGTATACTCAATTTTAATTACTATGTGAGCCAGTAGTCTTTATGTTCCTTTTATATTCAGTTGAATCTTTTGCATATAAAGGAAATCTTCGGGGGCTTTTACTAGCCTGGATTGGAATGTAACATTTTTTAAGTTTCCAATTAGACAAAGGCATAGTGAAGAAAATTTGCATCAAATATATATAATGTATCCTTTCTTACGCTCTCCAATGAGCATAATTTTTACATCACTCCCCTACCTAAAATCAGTGATTTGATTCCAGGGTGAAGTTTAAATTCCCTATTACAAACACATTCAGCTCCAGTTTGGCCAGACTCCAGAGAATTACCCACCCTCCGTACACGCCAGCTAGCTTCTGGTAAGGCTCTCCTGGCCTAGCTGGCTTGACACCATCTCCATCTCTAAGGCAAAGAGCTGTCCGGTCGTTGTGCGGCCACAGCGTGCTGCACACACCGCCAGGACTCCGCATTATCGCACTCAAAAGACTGGAATTCAGTGGAGGTAAGCCTCTTAAGGCTCAGTCCGTTTTGTTTGGTATACTTTTGTGCTTATCATATACACACTCAATATCTGAATAAATTGCTAAACCTGACTTTTCCTATGATTATAAAGCTAAAGATGTCCTTTAAGAAAAATGTACGGGTCCAAATGTAATACTCTTGTAACACTGTTTAAAAAGTATCCTGTGAATCAGAGGCACATACCCAGTTGTTACTGGAATTTTACTTGACACAATATTCACATATTACGCGACACATTCCTTCAAGTTGCAAGATCCTAATTTTTTTTTAAGTATAAAAAGTTAGAAAATCTAACAGCACATTTTACATTTAATATATGTTGCCACCACATAGGACAGTATCCAGACAATGCAAATGAAACTAAACTTTGGCCGGGGTGCAGAGGACCTATTTTTGCTACGCAGTAGTGACATATCGGCTGCTTGGATGATGCACACAAACTGCCCGCGTTAACGTGCTAAGTGCTTACACGTGAGTCATACGGGGGATTACCTAGGAAACTACAGGCCAACGAAGTACCTTGGCAACATTTCTGTAGGGCAGACCGTTATGTTCTCGAATGCTACTCTATCAGAAAACCAGTAAACACAAGAAACTTTGGGGGAAATGCTCTTTAAGGGTGATGCAGGTTCAATCGTTCACACCGATTTTTGTATTTAAGAATACTTACAGGATAAATTTCCATAGGTAGAATTTCTGGATGAAAAAGTAGAAGCACATTGTAATTTGTATAGATATTTTTCAAATTGTTCCCCATAGGATTGTATCATTTTGCACTCCTATCCGCAGTCAATACAATTAGTCTCCACTTTATCACAAAGCATACAGTCCAAGACCTCCAGTGGGTGCCTGGGACAGACCACGGACAGTACCAAATCCTATGCACACCATGTTTCGTTCAATACATACATACCTTATAAAATGTATAAATTAGGCACAGAAATATATTGACAATAATAATAAAATAAAACACTATTAAGGATATACTGTAATAAAAGTTATATGAATGTAAAAAAAAAAAAAAAAGTGTTGCAGTTCGCAAGCTACGCTCACAGCACAGGGAGCTGCTCCTCCGTCCACCGCGACCACAAGGTTCGCGGCGCTGCCCACGTGCTTCTCAAGAAGGACCGGCCAGCTGGCGTCACGTGACACCCCGCAGGCCCCGCCCTCCTCTTTTGTGACTCCCCAAAGGTGCCTGATCCTTTTCTTTCTTTCTTTTTCTTTTTAGAGGAAGCTGGCCCCAATATCTAATGAGAGAGAGAGAGAACAAGAACGTGTCTTTTCTGGTTTTCATGCCCAATCTTTTCCTCCCTGTTTTGGGCAGTGTGACTGAGGGCACTTTTTCTTTTTGATCGGGCGTGTCCCCGGGCAGCTCCCGTGCCGGGTCCGGGCCTTTCCGGGGAACGGGCGCTGGCGGAGTGCGTCACTGTCACCGGCCCCCGCCGTGTCCCCGGCCCCCGCCGCCGCGCTCGCGAGGGCCCGCGCTCTCCATGTCCTTTCCCCGGTGTGCGCTGCTGTGGGCCCGGCTCCCGGCGGGGCGCCGCGCCGGCCACCGGGCGGCCGTCTGCTCCGCCCTCCGCGCGCACCCCGGGCCCGTCCCCGGGCCTCTGGGGCGCACGCCCGCCGTTGCCTCCTCTTCTGCGTCCGGGGGTTCCAAAGCCCCAAACACGTCCCTGTTTGTGCCGCTGTCTGTGAAGCCTCAGGGCCCCAGCGCGGACGGCGATGTGGGCGCGGAGCTGACCCGCCCCCTGGACAAGAGTGAGTGCTGGGCGGCGGGGGTGGGCCGTCCTGCCAGGTCCCCAGAGCCGTAAAGGCCACCCTTCAGTCCTCTGCTCCTTCTCCTAGGCCGGGGGTCTACCGGATGGCCAGCGGCATGGAAGGTCAGGGGGTCTGATCTTCATCGCCAGCGATAGGAAAGGTCCCGGGGGTTTAACCACATGACTAGCCATAGGCCAGGAAAGGAAAGGTCACTCACTGTGGGTGAGGTCCTTGTTTTCCCAGTTTTGCCCATTTCCCTTATTCTGTTCATGGCTGTCCGTTTGCCTCCCCCATTCTCAGGAATGCAGAGTGTGTGGCTGGGTCAGTACAATGTTTCTCGCTACAGAATGCAGTAATATTGTAACATGTTCAATGATATCACAGTCTCAGCTTGACTGATATAGAATACTTTTATAAAATACTGGAGGCCCGGTGCATGAATTCAATGCAAGGTTGGGGTCTGGCCAGCCCACCCCTATGGGCCGGCAGGGAGGAGGGGATGTGGAGGTTGGCCGGCTGGTCCTGCCCCCCTCCCCCTTTGGGTGGCGGGGGATCAGGGAATGGGGGGGGGCGCAGAGTATTGGGGGGACTATTGGGGCCCCAATTAGGCCAGTTGGCCACCACAGTATGTGTCATAGTGACTGGTCATTCTGGTCATTCCATAGTTCCATTCGCTTGGCTTTTATATATATATAGGTTTAAAATGTTATTGATTCATAGCTGCATGTTACTTAAGCAGGCATTGAATTCGACCTCTCCTAAGTATAGTGATTTCTCTGCCATCACCTTGGAAATACAGTCATTTAAACCTTGAGTACTTTTCATTGACAAGGAGCTGGCACTTTCATGAGCCAGTCCCTTTTTACTATTGTAGATGCTAGGAAACTCTTGTATAAATTCCACTGACATCTGCTTCCCTCATCTCCCATTGACTTCAGTTATGCCATCTAGAACAAAATAAGTATACTCTGTTCTTCCTAAAGCCATCTTCTTCAAATTAAAGATCATCCCTGGATGCTATATTTTCTTAATCTTATTTACTTACATATATGTTGTTATTGATTTGAGAGAGTGGAAGGGATAGGGATAGAGAGATAGAAACATGGATGAGAGAGAAGCTTCATTGATTGGCTGTCTCCTTCATGCCCCTCATTGGGGATCCAGCTGGAACCCAGGCATGTGCCCTGACCAGGAATGGATCTGTGGTCTCCTGGTTCATGGGTCAACCACTGAGCCACATAGGCTGGCCATCCCTGGCTCCTTTAGTTTTTTGCATAAAGGCATAATGGTCTGGTCTTGTAGTACTGGTTGTCTTTTCTAGATAGCTTGTAAGCTGCTCACTATTAGATGTTCGTAGTGATTATAAGTAAATGAAATAGAACGTGGTTATTTAAAAGTGACCTGCTGGAGGCAATGTCTAACCCTGTAGCACCTTGCTTACTCCTCTGCGGTGGAACAGGAATGTTTGACTTTATAATTTTTTAGGTGCTTCATCTCACTATTAAATTAAAAAGAGCTTGTGACCAAATAAAACCTTTTAAGTTCTTGCAACACTCAGTAGGCTGCTATGTTGAGTGTTAGGACTTCAGGTTTTGTTTTGTTTAGGCATTCTCTATTTGGGAAACAAATATTACACACATTTTAAATTTTGATGTCTTTCTTCCAGATGAAGTAAAGAAGATCTTAGACCAGTTTTACAAGAGGAAAGAAATTCAGAAACTGGGTGCTGATTATGGACTTGATGGTAATACTAATGACATTCCATTAGAGGTAGTTTATTTTTAGATTATAGCTTTGTGAATATAGTGTAGCACCTGTGTGTCCTTGACATCCTATATAATAAAAGGCTAATAGGCAAATCAACCAAATGGCAGAATGACCGGTTGCTACGGTTGCTATGACGCATGCTGACCACCAGGGGCCAGATGCTCAATGTAAGAGCTGCCTCCTGGTGGTCTCTGAGCCAGGCTTCTGGCTGGCGAGTGAAGCAGCAGCAGTGGCGGGAACCTCTCTGCCTCTGGGGCAGAGCTAAGGATGTCCATCTGCCTGCTGGGGGTGGGTTTAAGCCATCAGTTGGACATCCCCTGAGGGCTTCCGACTGCAAGAGAGTGCAGGCCGGCCTGAGGGATTTCCCCGCCCCCCCACCTCAGTGCACCAATTTCGTGCTCCAGGCCTCTAATAAGTACTTGTTGTGATTGGAGGATGTCCCTGGTCTCTGCTCTCTGAGCAGGAGATTGGCAAGATGCACCTGGTGAGCCAGACATGTAGCAAAGAGCTGTGTGTTCACCTTTCCTTCATGTGCTTGGATTTCAATTCTGGCCCAGATCTGATAAAAAAAAAAGGGGGGGGGGCACTTTGATTAATTAGGTGTGATGTGTATATATACTTTTTAAAATGACAAATGAAATGAATTTAAGCCCTGCCTATTTTGGTTTTTTATTTCCTGTAGCTCGTCTCTTCCACCAAGCTTTCATAAGCTTTAGAAATTATATCCTGCAGTCTCATTCCTTGGATGTGGACATTCACATTATTTTGAATGATATTTGCTTCAGTGCAGGCAAGTGTTTATAGAGATTTTTTTAAATCCTGTTAAATATACTTTCTATTTCCTTCTGTACTTCATGTATATTTCTGAAGTCAGGGATTATTTGCATAGAACAGGCCCTATTAATATTTTCTATAAATAATTTGGTGCTTACATAGGAGGCTGTCTGGGACCTGTTGGGCCCCTGAGCTAGTTATTAAATCCCCCATATGTGTTAGGCTGGGGGCAGGATTGATCTGTTACCATCTGTTCTTCACTATGTGCTAATACAGGCCCCAGTGGGATGAACTCTCATACCAGGTAGAATTAATGCATAGCACATTCCATCTGTTTCTGCCACTGTTCCTTTACCCCGCATCAGGACACAGTTCTTGCCATAAAAGAAAAAAAGTAAGAACATCATTCTTTTGTTCCCATAGGCAGCTTGGTTTTGATTATATATTTTAAATGTGTTTGATTCTTAGACCTTTACTCTGTGCCAGGAACTGAGGTAGAACCTGGATACAAAGCAGAATGGACACAGCCTCACCCTCAGAGCCACTAAGGTGTGGAGACTTTTTGCTGAGCAATCAGTTCACGTTCTTGTTTTACAGTGGTCTCTGTAGTTTAACAGTGTTTGCACCTGCATTTCTTTAACCACAGGCCTTCTTTCTCATGTATATTTTCAGTTCTTTATTTTTTATTTAACTTTTGCCAATGCTGACCTTTACCTGCTTGCATTGGATGAGTAGGACATGATGGTTGGCAGCCAATTTTTTTTTCCCCCTAGAACAGTGTTTCTTAAGAGTATTAGTTAAGTATAGAATTTTACCTATATGTTCCCAAAAATTCTAGTTTAGCACTTCTTAGTCGGGATTCAGGAATCTGTATTTTAACAACTCCACCAAGTGATTCTCATGAGAGAAGTTTGGGAAGCACTGTTCTAGGAAAATAGAAGTGAAGTTGGGAGGAACATGTAAGACAGAGCAGATCTCAGAAAAGGGTAGAGTTTCTTGCTCCAGGGTTTTTCTTTTTATCCTGCTGGTAATGCCCCTGAAACTTAGCTCATTAAGAAGAAAGTGTAGTTATGGGTAACATGTAGATTGCTCCTGTTAATGCAGTGTTTTATTTTCCAGCTCATGTGGATGATTTATTTCCGTTTTTCTTGAGACACGCAAAACAGATATTTCCTGTGTTGGAATGTAAGGAAGATCTACGTAAAATCAGTGACTTAAGAATACCACCTAATTGGTTAGTTTCTTCACTTGTGGATTTGAAATTTTCGGTTTCTAATCTTGGGAGATCATTATTTTTTAAAATGATATTCTGGGTGGTAAAATATGAGGAGTCTAGATTGTGTTGTTTTCCCTAGGAAAGGCAGTTAATTCTGGCAGGCAATAAACTGGTGCCTCTCTCATCCTGACCCAGACTGGTTTTAAGATTTATTTCTGCAAATCGACAGTAGCCCTTCCTTTAGGGTGTTGTCCTTATAATTCAGGTGTGGCCTTTCTGGGGTGTCTGGGGTGGTAATGAGCTCTCTCACAACCACTGCTGTAGAACCCCAGTGTTTCCTAGTACTTGGCTACCTCATTGAGACTGTCTGCTTACACGCTTAGCAAGCTGTTCTCTGCTAGGTGCTGCGCATGTTCAGCCCACCCTGGGCAAAGGACCCACAGGGAACTCACACAGAGGCTTCCAGGCGCCCTCTTTACTGCCCCCATTCCCCCCCACACACACTCTGTTCTTTAACTTCCAGCCGCTTCAGCAGCTGAGCATTGGATCTCGGCTGCCAGCTCAGTGGGACCACCGTCCTTTGCTTGGGTTCCACCTCCCTGTCCTGCTGGGGTGCAGTAGGCCTCACCCAAGTGCCGCCTTCTTCTGGGGCCTGCAGTCCTGCCCTGCCTGTTGTCATGTCCCCAAGCAGCTGCAGCATAAGTTTTGTACTTGTTCATGGTGGGAGGCAAGCCCAGTACCACTCCTCATGGCCAGAAACAGAAGATGCGGTCATCATATTGTATACGTTGAAGTTCAGAAGCCTGGGAGTATTTGCTCATAAGGTCATGTGCTTAGATAGAGCTGTGGAAGGGATGTGAACATACCTATGGAGCTAATAGTAGTTTAAATTTATTTTAAGTAACTACAAAGGAAAAAGGATTTGTACAGTGGCAAAAATATCCAATAAATTAATATGCATTTGGATTTTTCTGTCCTCTGTTAGTAAATGTCATTCTTGGAAAGCTGTCATTATTTCAGGGTAGATAAGACATATGTCATGTAACTAATTTTTTAAAAGATGTTACGTTGTGAATGTTAAGAGAATGTTTCATTGGAATTTTTTTCAATTGGGAACTTTGTCAAGATGGATTTTGAAATTAATAAGGGTAAGCTGTTTGCCTACTTATTTTTTAGGTACCCAGAGGCCAGAGCCATACAGCGGAAGATAATATTCCATTCAGGCCCCACAAACAGTGGAAAGACTTACCATGCAATCCAGAAATACTTGTCAGCGAAATCTGGAGTGTATTGCGGTCCTTTAAAATTATTGGCACATGAGATCTTCGAAAAGAGTAATGCTGAGGTCAGTGTATTACCAAACATTTGCTCCTTGTTAATTTTGTGGGGGGAAAGGGTGGGTAAGAAGGAAGGTGGGAGGGTGGAGTGCGTATGTAGTGTGCCCTTCATTAACAGAATTGCCGTATTTCATTGCACCTAAGAAGTCATCAGTCGTAAGATGTGCCATTATTTTATGTACAGTTAAGAAATAAGAAGTACTGCCAACTGAACCCTAACATGGCATCAATTGTTAAGATGTATCCTGTAATAATGTGCATTTTAGAATGAATGAAATATATTGTTATAGAATATTTCACATATTCAGAGATATGCTGAGAATAATGCAAATAATCTGAACCCACTACCCAATTCCTGTCAGATTCTAACATTTTGCCATACTTGTTTTATTTACTTTTTAAGAAATAAAATATTATTGATAGAGTTGAAACTCTGTGAAGACCTCTTTTGCCCCCTCAGAGTGAACCACTACTCTGTTACGTTGTTTAATTTACCCTTTGTTAGATTAGCCATGATACTATCAACTAGAACTAATGATAAAAACTGAAGCCACTTTTTCAAACCTGAAAAGGACTCAATGCCCTGTGGTCTAACGCATGGGATAAAACTTGATTCATTGTTTTATTATTAGTTTTATTATGACTATAATGTCAAATACACCAGTTTTGGTAGGTAATTTTTAGAGATTTTTTTTTTGTTCTGAGTAATTTATGTAATTTTTATACATAATTGTCTCTTGATCCATAAATACTTAAAAAGTATTTCCTCAGAACAAAGACTTTCTTTATATAACCACAGGATATTTATCTAAAGCAGATCATTTAGTATTGACAGACTAATATTATTAAGTCTATACTCTATATTCAAGTTTTGCCAAAAGCCCAATAACAATACTCCCCCTTGCCCCTGCCCTCACTGCCCCCGACCTCCAGGTTCTGTTCAGCACTCACACTTTTTTCATCCTCATATCTCTAGTTTCTATTAATCTGAGGCAGTTTCTTGGTCTTCCTTTGTCTTTCATAACCTTTACATTTTGGAAGACGACTATAGGCCAGTTGTGTTGTAAGCTGTCACTCAATTCGGATATGTCTGTTGTTGACTCACGATTAGGTTCAGGCCCCTGGGGAGACCAGCTGTCCCATTGCTCGGAGTTTCCCCAGGATTAGCACCACAGTCCTTCACCCTTGGGAGCACCGCAGGCCTGGGCGAACCAGGGGGGTTGGTCACTCTGATACACCATAGCATTGATACTGGTTCTTCTCAAGGAATTAAATTATATTGGGGAGACTGTACACTCTTAAATTTCATTTATAATATCCTTTTTGAATATAGAAATAATTCATGTTCATTTTATTTTAATAAACTGAAATAAAAAAGAAACAAAGTTAAAAAGTGAAACTACTATAATTTCTCATGCTTTTGTTACCTAAGAATTTAGTTGCCTTGCGGTATTTCCAAGTTTTACATAGGCTTTGTAATGCTATCACAAACAGTAAGATTTCTGCTTTCATTTTTTATTAAAAATACTTTATAAAGGATTGAGAATATTTTGTTTCAGCTATTAGACAAATAAATTTGATCATAATGGAGAGAATTCTTTATCAAACATCCAACATTTCTCTTTGCAGTTCTGTTCAGAGTGAAAGTAATTCCAGGTTTCTTTGTCATCCTAGGGTGTGCCATGTGACTTGGTGACAGGTGAAGAGCGTGTGTCAATAGAGACAAATGGGAAACAGGCTACCCATGTTGCTTGTACTGTGGAGATGAGCAGTGTTACAACTCCTTGTATGTACACACTATTTAAAAAAACAGTATTTAAAAAAAATTTAAACAGTGATGAACATATGAAATGTTTTTATTGTGAAAAAATTTAAGTTGAGACAAAGAAGAGAATAATACAACAAAAAGTACCTACTATCACTAATGAATGCCTGAAACTTTCTGTCATGTTTCCATTATTATTATTATTATTATTTCAGAGAGGAAGGAAGAGGGAGAGAGATAGAAACTTCAATGATGAGAGAGAATCAGTTGTGGGCCCCTATTGGGAATGGAACCCTCAACCTGGGCATGTGCTCTGACTGGGACCCTTCATTCCGCAGGTTGTTGCTCTATCCACTGAGCCAAACTGAATAGGGCTGTCATGCTTGCTGTTTTAAATATTCTTTCCTTTTTCCTCTTAAAAGAACAAAAATGTTAATAGCTATGAATTTGTAGTAATCCTCAGTTCAATTCTTCCCCCTCTTTTTTGTTTTCAGTATTATTTGTATTAGTTTTAGGTGTTTAGCATAGAAGTTAGGCAATCATATACTTTCTTTAAAATATGTTTTTATTGATTGTTAGAAAGAGAGAGGAAGAGAGAGAAACATCAATGAGAAACGTCATTGATTGGCTGCCTCCTGCATGCCCCCTCCTGGGGATCAAGCCCACAATTGAACATGCACTCTGCCCATTTACTGCATTTACTATGCCACCATCTTGACCGAAATCTCCTTTCCCCTCATTTATTTATTTATTTGTTTGTTTGTTTGTTTTTAATTTCCTTATTGATTTAGGTATTACATATGTGTCCTCATCCCTCCATTAACCCTCACTCCCTCCTACCTTTCCCCTCTTGATCTAACTGCTATCAAGTATTTGGTGTATATCTTTTTTGCTGTCAATACTATAAATTGTGTATTTTAAAACATTTACATGATTATCATATTGTATTAATTTTCCACACTTGCTTTTTATTCTATACAAGTTTTTAGATCTAGGCTTGTTTTGTGTGTGTTTGTGTGTGTGTGTGTGTGTGTGTGTGTGTGTGTGTGTGTGTATATATATATATATATATATATATATATATATATATATAAAATCATATATGTCATAAACACATATCAAGTTTATTCATTTAAACTGTTACATAGCATTTCATTTTATGACTAAAATTACATATTTCTCCATTAAAGAATATTTAAATGGTTTAAAATCTTTCACTATTAATAGCACTGCAGTAAACTAGTTAAGTCATTTTGAAAATATTTTTTATGAAAATCAACTTTTTTTAAATTATATAAGCAATTATATCTTCACATTGAAAACTCAAAGATAAATGCCAAGAATAAAAAAGTACATTTTTATTTTCCCAAAAAAGTACTTACTATTTTCCCAATTCCACACATTCAGAATAAGCAAGTTTTACCCTATGATATATATTTTTCAGATTCTTTTTCTAAATTTTTATTGTGTATCCACATATTTATGTGTGCATTGTGGTTATGTATATTAAATAAAATAGGGGTTATATATTACATGTTAGAGCAAATTATGTACTATTTAGTAGTTTGCTTTTTTAATTTTAATCTTAACTTTCTGTGTAAATGGGTAGTTTTTTAAAAATTGGTTCATTATAACAGTTGTATGTTATAAAAATTCAGATAGCACAGATATTTATAAATGAAAATTCCCTTTTTTAAATCTTGTTTGTAAATGCCCAGATGCAATAAGTAAATTTTAACCTGATGGTTTTTTAGTATAAAATTAACTTTCTTTTGTTTCTTAAATGTCTTGCATTAAAAATTTCAATGTGATTTTAACTCCTTGGTATTTTGAGAAGAAAATTAAAATATAATTAATATGACTTAAAAAGAATAGAGTACTATGGTTTGAAGCATTAAAAAATAAAATTTGGCACTAATTTTTGCTATAGTGATGAGCTGAAATTCCCTAAGAATGAGCATTGCTGGAACTCGGGGGATTACACTTTCCGCTCTGCTTTCTGCCCTCACACCTGCCTGGGTTCCGGTGGCTGAGATGCTTCAGTTACCGTGGGGCTGCCTATTCCTGGCTCCTGGAAGCACAGAGACTTTTTCTCTTCCTGCTGTGAGGTGTGTCAGCTCTCATTAGGCAGCTCCTGAGATTGCAGAAATAGGACAAATGAACCTGCTTACTGTGTGAGGCAGTGAGTAGATAGTTAACAGTCTGGACTTTGGAGCTAGATGGCCTGGGTTTGAATTTCATGTTTTTTAAATCTTACCCTTACCTGTATATACTGTATCCTTGGGCCATGACTTAACTTCTCTGGGCCTCAGTTTATTCTTCTGTAAAATAAAGAAGATGATGACTTTCCTTTTATATTTGTGGTGAGGATTAAGTGAGTTGTAATTGTAAAGCCCTGAGAACAAGACTGCCAAAAAGAAGCCTGAGTGGTCAGTGGTGGTGATGACTGTGGTGGTGATGAATGCTTGAATTTCGGTGTTGTCATTTGTTTATAAAACTATTTAAATACTTACGTTGCTCGTGATAACTTTTTATGTTAAGATGAAGTGGCTGTGATCGACGAAATTCAGATGATTAAAGACCCAGCCAGAGGATGGGCCTGGACCAGAGCACTTCTAGGTTGGTGTCTTCGCGCTCTCACACCTGTGCTTTGTGACGCCTGCTCTGAGGTGCATTATCCGCTGGACGTCACCAAGGAGAGCCAGCTAGATTCTTTCTTTTTGACACAAATCAAACAAAAAGTCAGCTAAGTGTTTTGTTTTCTTTTCTTAATATTATTTAAATAATGCAAAGTCTATTTTTTCCTATGGTGAAATTAGCATAACCTCTTAAAGTTAAAATATTCAAATCTCACCATATGTACAACCACTATTAAGATTTTGGTGTGTATCATGCCAATTTTGTGACTATATAATTTTGTATCTTGCTTTTTTTTCAGTTCTGTTGTTTCTGACATTTTTTTGGTATCACATACTAATATTGTATATTCTCCCTTAAGGAACTGTACCATAATTTTTTTCCACAGAGTTTAATATCTTCCCCTGTTAATATTAATAGTGGTTGCTGAGTCTACTCCTTGACTTGCCTCCATTCCATTTAGTTCTTTTTCTGGATATTTCTCCTGTTGGTCTATGATAAAATCCTGGTGACCGTAGCTTTTTATTCATTTATTTGATTATTTCTTTAGGATAGGCTCCTGGAAGTGGAGATTTTTAGGTCCACCAACTGAGAACATGAATGAGTATTTCTAATGTTTATATTAGAGTGAATTAAAATTTAAAAATAAATTTATTGATGGGCAGGGAGAAAGAAAGAGAAACTTTAATTTGTTGTTTCACTTATTTATGTACTTACTGGCTGATTCTTTGTAGGTGCCCTCACCAGAGATTGAACCTACAACATTGGTGTATTGGAACGATGCTCTTACTAAACTGAGCTATCTGGCCAGAGCTGGAGTGAATTTTTGATCAGCATATTGTAGGGCAAGAGTTCTCAGACTTAAAAACAAACAGCAGAACTCTTCCAGATAAAGAGTATTCATTGAAACCTTAATGTAAAATGGATGAAAGCAGATCTGCTAAGGGGTAAGGAGATTGGAATTCCTTCTATCCTCCAGCCCCAGCCCTCAGGCACCTCAGGGATTCCATGAGGCTAATTTGAAAAACAAGTATGAGACTAATGTTCAGTACTGATCATAAATGTCAGGTACTAGTCCTGGTTGGCATCACCCTCTAGACTCAACACCTTGGCCAAAGCAGTTTAAAAGCCCTGATGTTTATAAAAATGTAGTTAATCTTTGCCCCGTATATTGTTGTTTTGAGGTTTGAATCAGAGAGATAATATTTATGAAAACATTTAGTAACATGGTAAAGCAATAGTAACAAACTTAAAATATTTTGGCTAGCCCTGGCCTGGTGGCTCAGTTGGCTGGAGTGTCGTCCCATACACCAAAGGTTATGAGTTTGATTCCTGGTCAGGGCACATGTCTAGGTTGGGGGTTCTATCCCCAGTCAGTGGGTGTAGGGGAAGCAACAGATCGATTTTTCTCTACATCAATATTTAAAAAATGTTCTCGGGTAAAGATAAAATATATATTTTATGTCTTTAACATTTTTTTAATGGTGATTTTGCATTTAACAGGACTCTGTGCTGAAGAGGTTCATTTATGTGGAGAAGCTGCTGCTATTGACCTGGTTACTGAGCTTTTGTACACGACAGGGGAGGAAGTAGAGGTACTAGACGATATGCTTTGTTCTCAAGATGGCATAGCAAATAGCCCGGAGTACCAGGCAGTGGCTTCATAGGCTGCAGGTAGTGATAAATTAGAACTTAACTAAAAAGAAAGCTTTATTTCCTCCTAGTTGACTAGATAACACACAATTGATTTAACCTCATATTTGGAGTCTGACAGAGTGGCCATCTTACCCTGTCTTCTAAAAGTACAGGAGATTCTTTATATTCTTTTGACAAAACCTTTTGGAGTTTCAGCAGTTCCCTTTAGAATTAAGTAAGTCAGTAATATTGGAAGTTTGAGGTTCAGCAAAAGTTTGTGCTTTTTATTTATCTTTATTGTTATTGATTTTAGAGAGAGGAATGGGAGCAGGGAGAGAGAGAAAGAAACATCCATGTGGGAGTGAAACATCTGTTGGTTCCTCCGCCTGACCAGGGGGTGAACCTGCAGCCTGGGTGTATGCCCTGACTGGGAATCAAACCTGCCACCTTTCGGCGTGCGGGGCCATTGCTCCCACGACTGAGCCACACTGGCCAGGGCAAAGCTTGTGGTTTTTAAAGTCTCAGATGTCAGGTAATTGGGGCCTTTGATATACATCTAATTGCTAGAAAGAGTTTGTATCCCTTTTCACATTCCTAGAGTAAGAAGTAATTGGTTTTCTTTTCATCCTACTTTTTGTTTCTTTACCAGAGTTCTATAATAAGATGAAGAAATATTTAAAAACTGGTCCATTACTTTAGTTTTGTGTTCAGCTTTCAGGGAGAGAAATATAATAGAAGAAATTGTGGGTTCTAGTCTTGACTTTGCTATTAGTTTTATATTCTTAGGCAAATTGTAGAAGGCTAGAACTGGAAAAATCCTCTTCAGACCTGATGTTCTATAAGGCTCTCTTTTACTTTTTCATAAAAGAAAATAACAGTTAATAACCCTTCTGAACTTACCAAGTTGCCATGAAAATCAAATGTAGCCCTAGCCAGTTTTGCTGAGTGGTTAGAGTGTTCTCCCTTAGACTGAAGAGTAGTGGGTTCAGTTCCTGTCAAGGGCACACACCTTGATTGCAGGCTCGATCAAAGCATGTGTGGGAGGCAACCAATTGATGTAACTCTCACATCCGTGTTTCCCTCTAAAATCAATGGGGGTTGGGAGGAGAAAATCAAATGTACCTATATGAAAGTGCTTTGAAAATTTATGAAACACTGTTTAGCATTTAGTTGATTTAGAAATAGCAATGAATATTAAAATAAATGCTTTTTTGTATTTCTCTTTGAAAAACAACGGACCTTGTTTTCAGCTTTTAGCAAGTATTCACTTGTTAGTCACATGAAATTGAGTTTGGTGTGTTATTTTACAATATCATGTCTTTATTAAAGGTTCGAAACTATACGAGGCTTACCCCCATTTCTGTGCTGGATCATGCATTGGAATCTTTAGACAACCTTCGGCCTGGGGACTGCATTGTCTGTTTTAGCAAGAATGATATTTATTCTGTGAGTCGACAGATTGAAATTCGGGGACTGGAATCAGCTGTTATATATGGCAGTCTCCCACCTGGTAATTATTGGCTTTCACTGTGACAGAATATTAAACTTTATTTTTCCCATTTATGTTGAATATGTATAGAAAATATAGTAAAATATATTGAATTAAGATGCTTGACATATTAGTAATTTGTTATAAGTAATATAAAATAAATGTTTCTCTAGTTTATCTTGGTGGGGATAGAAATATTTTAATTATTTCTAGCTCTTATTATTTGCTGATATTTTAAATTTTGAATTGAATAGTTTCTTACAGAAATGTCATTACCCATGAACTTGAGTAATATTTCTCAAATTGTAGTTATGAAATCTGTTACTACACGTCTTCAGAAGTGAGAGGCTAGTGTGGTGTGGGGTTGTGTTGCTGTATGTAGGGATATTTAAAAGAGTGGAAATAAAGGATAAATAACTCTTTGAGGATATAAAGAAATAATTTTATCCATAAAAAATAGGAAGTAGGGGAGGAGGGTTTCCAAGATACACTTAGTGTGATGCAGTAAAAGATTGAGAACACTGGTTTAACGTAAACTTCTTATTTTAGGAACCAAACTTGCTCAAGCAAAAAAGTTTAATGATCCTGATGATCCATGCAAAATCCTGGTCGCTACAGATGCAATTGGCATGGGACTTAATTTGTAAGTGATTTGTTTTTAACAATCATGGATATTCAGTGGGTTAGATGGCAATGAAAAATTTTCTAATTGGCATTAGAATGACCACTTAGGGAATGGGTATTATCATAAAGATCTGAGATTTATCTTGCTTACACACCTTGTAAGGGAGTAAAAAGAAAGTATTACATCGCTCAGACTTTGAGTGCTGCTCTCTATCACTGCTATCTTGTTATATTCCCTTACTTTTAGTTTCTCAGTCAGCAAGTTGTGTGAGTGCCTACTATGCTTGTAGGTCTAGCTGTTATCTGAAGGGGTAACAGTATTAAGCCTAAATATTCCTCTGTGGGGAATGAATTAAAAAAAACTATTCAAACTGTTAATAGCCAACTTTTAAAAGCAGCTTGAGCCCTAGCTGGTTTGGCTCAGTGGATAAAGTGTCAGCCTGCAGACTGAAGGTTCCCGGGTTCGATTCCAGTCTAAGGCACGTGTCCGGGTTGTGGGCACATCCCCAGTAGGCAAGCAGGAGGCAACCAGTCAGTAATTCTCTCTCATCATTGATGTTTCTATCTCTCTCTCCCTCTGCCTTCCTCTCTGAAGTATAAAAATATATTTAAAAAAAAAGCCCCTTGAGAACATGTGGTTTATTTGTTAAAAAATGTTATCTTCTATAGCCTTATTGAGGTATAATTTATATACTATACAGGTCACCCACTGAAAAATACAAGTTGATAAATTTTAGTAAATTTACCCAGTTGTTTAAAAATACTATATAAAGGGAAGAAAGAATTACCAACAAACCTTTTTCTTTTGAAAGCAACAGGCAAGATTGCAAGTAGGCCTAAACTAGAAGTGAGTGAGCATTTCTGCAGTGACCCAAGTGATGGAGAGATTTTTGTCTGTGAGATCACTTTTATTTCTATTTCAGGAACATAAGAAGAATTATTTTTTATTCCCTTATAAAGCCCAGTATCAATGAAAAGGGAGAGAAGGAAATAGAACCAATCACCACTTCGCAAGCCTTGCAGATTGCTGGCAGAGCTGGCAGGTTCAGTTCGAAATACAAAGAAGGAGAGGTTACAACAATGAATCGAGAAGACCTCCGTTTATTAAAGGAAATTTTGAATAAGCCTGTTGAACCTATACAGGTAAGGTTAATTCCCTTTGGAGGACAGTCATGCCTTCCTTCATCCTCCCTCCAGACTCTTGCCTAGGACACGTGGTAACAAATAAACAAAAGATAAATTTTATACCATTAAAATTACATCAAGAAAGTCCTACTTGCCCTAGCTGGTTTGGCTCAGTGGATGGAGCATCGGCCTGTGGACTGAAGGGTCCTGCATTTGATTCCGGTCAAGGGCACATGCCTGGGTTGCAGGCTTGATCCCCAGTAGGGGGCATGCAAAAGGCAGCCGGTCAATGATTCTCTCTCATCATTGATGTTCCTATCTCTCTCTCCCTCTACCTTCCTCTCTGAAATAAATGGAAATATATTTAAGAAAGAAAGCCCTACTTTATTGCTTTGGAGAGGAATGGAGACTCCTGGTTGAGAATGGTTTGCAGGTGAAAGATCCAGATTGAAAAGTATAGTGAACCTAATTTTTCTTTCGTCCTTCCTATAACCTAGCAGCAGGTGGGGGTAGGGGCACAGTTGCTTCCCGTGGGCACTCAGCTATGTAAGCAGACTGAAAACTTGTCAGGAGCGTGAAGGTAGAAGAAACCCTTTAGTATGGAGCAAAAACAGCACTTAGCAATGTAATTTGAGCCAATAAGGACAAATGTAGTTAATAACACAGAAGTGTATATATTTTAAACAACCTAACTGTTAAAATTTCTTAAAAATACGTTTTTATTGATTTCAGAGAGAGGAAGGGAGAGGGAGAGAGAAACATCGATTGGATGCCTCCCTCGCGCCCTTATTGGCGATGGAGCCAAGTACCCCGGCATGCGCCCTAACCAGTAATCAACTGTGACCTCCTGGTTGATGTTCAACCAGCTGAGCCACACCAGTTGCGCCTAACTGTCACAATTTAAAGTTGCCTGGAAATCTTTCTAAGTGTAGCTCTTTTCATTTTTCAGCGGCCTGGGTAAAGGGGAATGTATTATAAGTGAGATAATGCAAGGAAAAGTTCCTAGAGGAAAGCTGAGGTTGAGAGTGCAGTTGATAATGACACACCATTTCCCTCCTGTGCACAGTACCTCATTTCTTGTGTTCATTCTCTTCTTCCGACCGGATTCACATCCCGCCTCTCCTCTTTCCCATTCCCTTTCCCCCCTAGCTTATACTTACCCGTAAGCATCTCATAACACTGCAATATACAGTTAAAGAGATACCTGACCTTCAGTTTAGACATTTTTCATGTATTTGTGTATGTCAGACACTGTATAACTAAAATATGAATAAAAGATTGACTACTTAGTGGGTATAATTGGTTAGTTTTATTAAATCATCTTATTAGCTTTCCTAATTGGTAATAAATGGGAAAATGATGCTTTTCTCTATTTTACTCAAGACTTTATTTTGAATTAACTTAGGAAAACTTCTTTAAAACAAAAAAAAGCTTATGGTCGTCTTTTTCTTTCACTAAAGGCAGCTGGTCTTCATCCAACAGCTGAACAGATTGAAATGTTTGCCTACCATCTCCCTGATACGACACTTTCTAATCTCATTGTAAGTAGGAAATCACTTTTAATCTCTTTTCTAAAAGTGTTGATATGTTGGCCATTGTAAACAATGCTGCAATAAATATGTTTGCACAAGGATGCACATGACTTTTTTGATTTAGTGTTGTGGGTTTCTTCAGATAAATACAGTGCCCTAAAGTGGGATTGCTGGGTCTTTTTGTGTCTCTTGTTATAGCCTTTGTTTTGAAGTCTGTTTTGTCTGGCATAAGTATTGCTTCCCCAGATTTTTGTTTGTTTCCATTTTTGTGAAATATCTTTTCCCATCACTTGGCTTTGAGTATGTGTGTCTTTCTGTCTGAAGTGAGGCTCTTGTAGGCAGCATATGTGAGGGTCTTTTGTTATCCATTCAGCTACCATGCATTTTTTGATTGGGGCATTTAATCCATTTGTATTTATGTTTTTGATATTTTCTTTTTTTCCTTCTTTCTTTTCTCCCTCTTTTGTCTTTTCCTTTCTTCTTCTTCTTGACTCTTTAACATTTCTTGTAATACTGGTCTGGTGATGATGAACTTCTTTAGCTTTTTCTTATCTGGGAAGCTCTTTATCTGTCTTTAGATTCTAAGTGTCCATTGATAGATGAATGGATAAAGAAGTGGTGCATGTGCATAGTGAAATATGACTCGGCCTTAAAAAAAAAAAATCTTGCCATCTGCAACAACATGGGTGGACCTAGAGGGTATTTTGCTGAGTGAAATAAATCAGAAAGAGAAAGACAAATGCCATATGACTTCACTTATATATGGAAATTAAAAATAAATAAATGAACAAGTAGAACAGAAACAGACCATAGATACAGAGAATATTTTGATGGTTGCCAGATGGGAGTGGGGTTGGGGGAATTGGTGAAAAAGATGAAGGGATTAAGAAGTATAAATTGGTAATTATGGTCATGGGGATATAAAGTACAGCATGGGGAATCTAATCTATTTTAATAGCTATCTATGATGTCAGATGGGTACTAGATTTATCAGGGTGATTACTTCATAAGTTATTAAGTGTCTAATCATAGTTGTACACCTGAAGCTAATAAAATATTATACAACTATAATTGAAAAATAAAAAATTGGAGCATTTGAAACCTTGCTTCCCTGCAACTATCATGAGTTTTGGCTCAAACTCATAAAAATTCTCAAAAAGAAAATTTAATATTCTATATAATAAAAGGCTAATATACAAATAGACTGAACAGCAAAATGACCAGTAGCTATGACACACACTGACCACCGGGAGCAGATGCTCAATGCAGGAGCGCTCCCACAGGGGGTGTGCTGAGGCAGTGGCAGGATCCTCTCCCAACTCTGCGGCAGCGCTAAGGAGGGGTGACTGACAGCTTAGGCCCACTCCCTCTAAGCAGGCCTAAGCCATCAGTCAGGCTTTCTGAGGGCTCCTGGACTGCGAGAGGGTGCAGGCCGGGCTGAGGAACCCTCCAAGTGCACAAATTTCGTGCACCAGGCCTCTAGTAAAAAATAAAAATGTAATTACTAGTTAACCTCATGGGCATGAATGGATAGGCTATTTTTATGAAGTTGCTATTTATGAAGTTTATATTAAAAGTGAAAACTTTCAAAATCGTTTGGGACTTTTGTCTGAGTATTTTAGGTTGGGAAGGTTATGAAGGAATTATTAGCTTGAAGAGGCAATGAATAAAGCAGGCCTTTCTAGAAGTCTGTTTCGGGTTAAAGAGGTTGTTGTTTGTCAGGTTGAGTACTTTATTCATGCCCTGTTAGGCAGTCCAGTAATTTAATATGTCTTTTTTCCCCCCAGGATATTTTTGTAGACTTTTCACAAGTTGATGGGCAGTATTTTGTCTGCAATCTGGATGATTTTAAGTTTTCTGCAGAGCTGATCCAGCATATTCCATTGAGCCTGCGAGTGAGGTATGTGTTCTGCACAGCCCCTATCAACAAGAAGCAGCCTTTCGTCTGCTCCTCCCTGTTACAGGTAAGCCTGCATCTTGGGATATTTTGAGTTGTTTTTGATTGAGGTATTTCCCCCAAACAGTACTTTGTTACTCAAAATAATTGAAGACTATTCTTTAATATGAAATAATATGTAAGAACTTAAATATAAAGTGACTCTTTTTCTTACAAACAGTTTTTTGGGGAAAATGGGCTTATATGGTAGCCTTTGCGAAGAAGCTAAAACAAAAATAATTAAATACAGCTTTTTTTCAAGGGAAGGAGGTCTTTGCCTGCTGATACTCTTTTTCCTTATTGGTGTTGGGTAATATTTTTGGAAGGGGGCGCCAGGGGTTTAGTAGTGGCAATAGTATTCAGTTTTCTTAACCATAAGACACTGAGCCAGGGACTGTTGACTTGTATGAGTTTGGTGCCAGGGTTCTGGTTCCTTTTCTTCTCAGTCATTTGGGTAGGGATACAGTTCTCAGGAGCACAGAATTCACCAAAACAGAGCGCCGGGAAGGGCAATGGCCGCAGTGTCCTCTCACCTCTCTGGGCCCTGCTCTGCCTGGTGCTCTCCCTTGTAGCACTCTACACCAGAGGTCTCCTCTTTGAATCTTTTCTGCCTCGTGGTTGTAGTTCTGCTGCCATTTCTTTATAGACCTTAGCATTCTGCATATTAGCTCTTTTTATCAACTCTATTTCTAAACTCAAAATTATTTTTAAGTTACATAAATAATATATAAATACTTTCTCTCTGCACAACATTAAAACATTACAGATAGGGATAAATTGGACCACCTCCTCCAATCTTAGTTCTATGGCATAACTATTATCAGTTTGTATGTAATCTTGCAGACCTTTCCGATTGCATTTGCCTACTTAGGTATACATGTAGGAATTCTAGTTTTGTTGTGGGGATGTGTTTTCCCATAAATGCTATAATGAATGATTTTGCAACTTGCTGTTTTCTTTTTCCCTTATTATGTCTTAGAAGTCTTCCCTGTCCAGGCATTTACCTAGGAAATAGTCTCTCAGAACTGGCATTTATTAGAGTTAGCTAGTGTAAGGTTGATGTTTATGGAACAAAATCTTACATGCTGCAGACTGGCATGGATGGAGTTTGAGCCCATGCCTTCACCCCATTTACACCATTCCTCAAATTATTCTAGTGAAGCCCCAGCATTTTACTAAGGAGGAAGGACAGTCTGACAGTTGCTTATGTGTTCTGCTTAATGATGAGAAGGTGCAATCTAGAGATTTTTCTTGATCTCCATTATCACTGAACTTCATAAGAGCCATTGATGGTCTCTGAGGACTGATTTTGTAGAAAGAAGGCTGTCATTCCCCCACCTTTTAAAAAGTTACCTTTATAAAATATTAAATGTTCTTTAAAATACAGAAAAGTATAAAGAAGAAAGCATCCTGCCTATTGAAGCACAATCACAGTTAACATTTTGTTGTGCTTTCTTTTTTTTCTAATCACAGGCTTAAGTGAATTCTGATTCCTTTTCTTCTGCTTCTCTCAGTTTGCCAGGCAGTACAGCAGGAACGAGCCCTTGACCTTTGCTTGGTTGCGCCGATATATTAAATGGCCATTAAATCCACCTAATAATATTAAAGACCTCATGGATCTTGAAGCTGTCCATGATGTCTTGGATCTTTACCTGTGGCTAAGGTATCAAATATTTTCTTTATGTGCTCTCATTTTTTTAAGTAATAGGGCAAGTCAAAGGTTTTATGAATGGTCTTTTGCTCTTTCAAATTAGGCACATATTTGCAGGGTATTTATAGGCATATATCATGTTTATTGTCCATAAAGGCAGTTGAGCCTGGTTAATCCCCATTCCAAAAATGACAACGCATTTTCAGTATTCTAGTTAAGGTAAGTAGGTGAGAAGGTCCCCGAGATCTTTGCTACTCAATGGGTGGAAGCTTATTAGAAATAAAGAATATAAGATTTAATCAAATTCTGCATTTTAACTAGATTCCCCAGGTGATTCATTTATATGTTAACATTTGAGAGGTACAATTAAAATCCTTAATTAATGGTCCTGCGACCTAAAGCAAAAGGATGTATAACAAAACCAGTTTTACCAGAGGCTAATTGATATAAACCACAGTTAAGTTCCTATGGCATCTCATCAGTGTCCTGATGAGACAGTGCTATAGAGAGCGATGTTATCGGAGGCCCGCTGTACCGCTCTAGCTCAGTAACTCAAAGTGGGGGCATGTCCCACGCGGGGGCATATTGGAATCACTTCAGGGGGGAGTGGTGACCCATCCTCATAATAATGTACTCCTCAGGTGTGCTGGGGCAGAAGTAAAAGTTGAGCAAAGACACAACAAATTTTGCATAAACGACATTTGGAATTAATCAGTGTCAAGATGTAGTTTTGTCGTTGAGATTATTATAGTAGTTCAGCGACTGATAAGAGCTGTTGCTATAATGTAATGTCTTTTTCCCAGCTACCGGTTTATAGATATGTTTCCCGATGCCAACCTTGTTCGAGACCTGCAGAAAGAGCTAGATGGCATTATCCAAGAGGGTGTACACAACATCACCAAACTGATTAAGATTTCAGAGGCACAAAGGCTGTTGCATTTGGAGAACATGCCAGCAGACAGCCGGTCTCGTTCGCCAGGAACATCGAAGAGCCAAGCAAGAAGGATGCGCGGTACCAAAACTTTAGGGTTTAAAGCTGCTGAGCCGCCCCGCCCCGGTGCGGAAGAGAAGTCCCTGGCTTCCAGGTTGGTGCAGCAAGGACTCCTCACTGCAGACATGCTCAGGCAGCTGGAGAAGGAGTGGCTCACACAGCGGACTGAGCACGGCAAAGACAAAGCCGAGCCTGGGACTACCTCCAAAGGGTCAAGAAGGAAGAAGAAGGAACCTGATTCAGATTAGTTTTATTTCTATTTTGCAAATAAATATCTATTTAAAAAAATTCCTTTTTTTCATCTGCATTTACTGTCTTATAGTGTTCTGGCTATCTTACTAGTTTTTGTTTTTTTCTTTGCCCAGAAAAATTAACTCTTAAAGATGAGTAAACTGGATTTGTTTTTACATTTTAGAAATATGGAATATCTTAAAGATTTTATTTAAAGTTTTATAGAACTTTATAGTATAGAACTAAGACAATGCACTATAAAGAACTCTGCATGGCAATAAAACCCGTTTGGTGAGTTGTTTGAGCAGTTTTCTACACCATTGCTGAGGATGTCATGGGTGGAATTGCTGTCTGTTGTACCCATGTATTGGAGCTGTTCTATGTGCTGGAAACATACAGTAAGCAAGATGTATTATATGGAGACAAATAGGAATAACTTAAATAAATGTCAGCTCTGTGAGGGTAGAGATTGTTGTGTGTTTAGTTCACTGCTATGTTTTCAGTGCCTGGAATATAGTAGAAGCACAATCAGTCTTTGTTCAATGAATGGATGTAGTTTTGGAGAAAACTGCTAGTATAAAGTAGAATAAGGAAAGAGTAACAAGTGGTAGCGGTGGACTATTCTAGATAGAGTGGGTGGTCTTCCCATTTCAGAGGTCAGTCTGATGCATAGTGGCCTCTATTGTTCAGCACAGTTTTCAGCCCTGATTAGTGATACAGTTGAAAGGAGCTTAAGGGTGTGGGCTTTGGCATTGGACAGGCCTGAGTTCAGCTTCTCTCATCATTGCCCGCCCAGTGACCTTGCCCTCTCTGAAGATGGACAGTAACGCCTACTTTAGGTTGTTCAGGAGGTTAAAGTGATGAGGTGCCATTAGCACAGTGCTTGGTATATATGAAGTGTTTCATAAATGAAACCAAAGGTTTGGGTTCACTCTGGGCTGTGACTTGACCACTAAAGTCATTCCAGGAATTGAACTAATTTCTCAAGCGGCTGCTAAACAAGCTGACTTCAGACTAGTGATTACACTGAAAATGGGTCAAGAATAGTTTGGTAAACTAGTTATCTTCTAGCTTTCTCTTTGATAGTTCTGGAGTTCAGACAATAATTGAGATGGCAATCTTTAACCTTTGCCTTTCTGGGAATAAAGGCTGAGTAGATGCACTGAGTATATTTCTCCCTTATTTGTGGAAAACAGTAGTGAAACGTCCAGAAGGGCAGATATTCTTCATTAGCTTCTAGAATTTGCCTTCCTTGTGACTTATATCATAGCACACATTGTCTCTTTTTGCCCATTTGGTCTCATGGTACTTAAGAGATGAGGTATATCACTTGGAGGGTTAGTTCTCCCACTTCATTTTTGGGGCCAGAGTTGGTAATTCACAGAAGACACTTAAGCAAGACCCTTGCAAACTTAGCCAAGTTAAATGTTAGTGAAGTCTCAGGTAAGAGGAGTGAAGGTGGGGATACTGTAAGGAAGGGGCTGCTTGAACACTGAGCTAAAGAGTAGACAGTACTAAATAGTTCACCTTTCCCTGTGTGGGGGAGGGAGAGTCTGTGGTTAGGCAGAAAGATAAAATCAGGTAAAACAAGGAGGAATAATATAATTGAAGTGGCTCTGAGTAGTTAACTGCAAAGTGCTTACAATTGTCACTTTAAAAACAACCTGGTCTCTGCACCAAGCTTGACATGTAATTTATTTTTCTTTGAGGCTTCTGGGCCAGCTAAGTCCCAGGCATGTTTCACTCAGGTCATGTTCTTGACCTCTTTTTTTTTTTTTTTTTTTTTAAAGACCTTCCTTCCTTTTAAAAAATATATTTATTTATTTCAGAGAGGAAGGGAGAGGAAGAGATAGAAACATCAATGATGAGAGAATCTTTGATTGGCTGCCTCCTGCACGCCTCTTATTGGGCCTATAACCTGGGCCTGTGCCCAGAGCGTGAGCTTCTGGTCACGCTCAACCATCGACCCCGACTGGCTGGATCTCATCCTTTCTAAAACACAACTCTTTTTCTTGCAGTTTTCTCACAGGCTTTGAAGGCTTCTTTGGATTATTGTGAATTCAGCTGAACATGGAGTATGGACTGTGGCTTAGATGTTAACTCAGTTCATCGGTATGGGTCTGGCTAATTTAATAAGACGTGGTTAGTTCAGATCTGGTTAGGAACAAAATCAATGACTTGTAAAGCATTGTACATTTTATTTGTGGATGAGTATCCACAAATGAAATTGGGTCTTTTGAAAGATGCCTATTGTGAATCACAAATCACCAAAGCCTGTTACAGCTCAGAACTAGGAGTCCCTGAAAGTAAGATGCAGTCATTCTATGTATGTCCACCTCAAATCAACCTTTCAGGATATGATGTAAAGTGGTTGACTACAAGGTGAGCAAATGATAAATGAATTAGGTTATTTTATTTTTCTGTTTCAGAGCTATAAAATACATAAACTTGAACAGAGAGAGCAATCATCAACATGCTTCTGAGTTGTCGCTGTTCTCTAAAAGCCTGACAGTCCCTCACAGATGATAAACAGAAGTTGTCTTTATGTGCAAAAAAATGCTAGAGAAGAATATAATGTTCTTGACGTAGATTGACCTTTGAAGACTTGACTTCACAAAGTTACTTGTGGCAAATTTTGGTAGAGGAGATGATTTTGAACTTGTTCCTTTAACAAATTCTATCTATCCAAGAGTTTTTATTATGTGCTCTCAGAAAGCCCCTGATGCTTGTGAGGCATGGGACCCAGTGACTACCTTGCCCTGCCTTCAACACCTGTGAAATGAACTCGAGGATCCCCTCCTGGAAAATGTTCTTTCTTGGGTGCTTGTAATTAGGTTGAAATAATTTTTTTTAATTCCTTAAATAATTAAAAATTCATAAAGTGCCTTATTCTTTTAATAGCTACACTTGCATTTTATTAACATGTTTATTACTCATTGTCATCCTTCAAAAATTGATAAATCAATGGATATTGGTCACATTCTATAAAAGTCTATCTGCATATGATTATTTAAAGTAATGCATAATATAAATTCAAAACAAAGCTCACTTGGAAGTAAGAACTCTACCATAACCCAAACTTCTGCACATTCATTTATCTCTATATACATAAGCCAAATAAACTTGTCACTAAAAAATACATATATCTTTTATCCTCACCCAAGGACATAGTCACTGATGTTTAGATAGACAAGGCAGAGACATCGATGTGAGGGAGAAACACTTGACTGGTTGCCTCTTGTACGCTCCCCAACGAGGGATTGAACCCGCAACCTAGGTATGTCCCTGATAGGGAATCTAGTCCACAAATGTTTAGTGTACAGGATGACCAACCAAGCTACACTGGCTAGGGCAAGTTGAAGTCATTTTTTAAAACTGACTTTTGTCATAAATATATGTATCCCTTTAAAAACCAGAGACACACTTTCAATTCTGTTATTTTTCCTGTTATTCTAGTATTTAGCTCATTGACTACATATTATGCATCTCCTCTTTCCTGAGTCATCATTTTAAGACATTAGCTTCTGATTTCCTACTATATATCAGGTGAGGATTTAGCTTTTTATATGTATATTTTTATTGATTTCAGAGAGGGAGAGAGAAACATCAGTGATGAGAGAGAATCGTTGATTGGCTGTCCCCTGCATGGCCCCTGCAACCCGGGCATGTGCCCTGGCGTAACTGAGCCATGACTTCCTGGTTCATAGTTGGCACTCAGCCAGTGAGCCCTGCCGGCCGGGCAGGATTTAGCTTTCTTAAGTCCTTTTCTCCATTTCCCTTTTGGTACAGCTGTCATTCCTTTTTCTTGTAGTTAAATCGGTATTTAGAAATTACCCTCATGACTTTCATATTACTTTCATGGCAATTTTTCTTCGTCACTTAATCTATTGAAATTTTTATTTAACATAGTTTTTTGTTTCATAGACTTTATTATTATTTGATAGTTCCTTTTCTCATTTTGAAAATAAGAGGGTAACAATAAACATCTGAAAAGAGATTCAGAAACACATGATTTTTTTTTATTTTTGTTGTTGTTAATCCTCACCTGAGGATATTTCCCCCCTCTTGCTTTTCAGAGGGAGCAGAAGGGAGGGAGTGAGAAGGGGAATGGAGGGGGGGGGGGGAATTGTTAGGTCAGCATCTTCCCATCCTCTTCAACAAGGCTTTCTCATACATTTATAATACAGTTAGGTTCTTTTGTCAGTCTGTATTACATCTCTGATCTAAATTTTTTTTAAGAGTTCACATACATAAAAGTTCATTTTTTGTGCTGTAGCGTTATATGGGTCTTTAGACATAGTTTTATTGATTTATTGTTTTGACAAAGTATTGTGTCATCTATTCACAGTTACAGCACAACACAGAATAGTCTCACTGCCCTAAAACGCCTGTGCTTCGCTTACTCAGCCCCCCTCCTCCCAGCCCCTGGCAACCACTGGTCTGTTTACCACCTTTCTGTATCGGAGGCCATTTAGTTTTATCAGAGGAAAATGGGTCCCTGAGCCTCCTCCCAGTGAGTGATGTACACAGATGTCTGCTGGTGGAAACCAGTGGTTTGGGGTCTCATTGTTCAGCCTGAAGGTTTCAACCTTGTGGCCCTATTTGCAGTCTGGGGCCTCACTCCACTTCCCACGGTCCCAATGGTCCCAAGTCCAGAGGCTGTTGGGTTCGATCTCCAGAGAGAATAAACACAGTCTCCTGTAGGGGTAGGGGCTGGTGGTCACCCATTGGTCTAGGTTGAGGGGCACACTTGGGGCCTACCTGCTTTTTTTTATAGAGGCTTTTGACCAATCTCCTGTTTTGGGCTCTGTGTTGCCTCTCGCTTTTCAGAGGTAGCTGGGCCTCCAATGCTGAGCCTTCCTAGAGTTACAGATATCACTGCTCACTTCTCAGCAGGTCACTGTCTGCAGGCACTCAGGCTTCTGTGCTTCCCCTGCTGAGCCACTACTTTCCTGTTAGCTTTCTGTCTTCCCAAATTACGTTCAGATCTCTTAACCACTATTGCATTTCTCTTTGA